ATTAAATTAAATTCAATAATATTATATTATATTAAATTCAAAATTTGTATTAATTATATTATATTAAATTAAATTCAATAATATTATATTATATTAAATTAAATTCAATAATATTTATATTATATTAAATTAAATTCAATAATTATATTATATTAAATTCAAAAAAATATATTAAATTATATTATGTTAGATAGACAAAAGGGTAAATTAGACTTTTTAAATAATATCCCAACCAAGGGGATATGATATAATGAAGGGGGTGGTGGTATTGTATATCCTCCACTTTGCCCCATTTGTTTGGGGTTATAGGAAGGGGATTATGACTACTAATACCTTGGTATTACTAATACGTTATTTGTTTTGAGAGATGACCTTGGGACTAGTAATACCTTGGTATTACTAATACCCTTGGAAGGGGGATTCATAGTGAGGAGGTAGAGATGGTATTGAAAAAATAGTGAGAGGATTATAATTTTTTTTATTTTTATTTTTTATATATTGGGAATTTTTTTTAAAATATTAATGTTTAATTTTTTTATTTTTTTATTTATTTTATTATTTTATATAAAAGTAATTTAATAATTTCTCACTATTAATCTCCTCACTATCAATCCCCTCATTATTAATCCCCTCACTAACAATCCCCTCACTAACAATCCCCTCACTATTAATCCTCTCACTATCAATCATCTCCATTCTATGTCTGAAAACAAGCGGGGCCTTAGGATATACAATCCCATGGGATATTATATCCTCTTTGAAAAAAATTTTGCAAACATGGGATATATAGACCTCACAGGATATAATATCCAATCCTACCCTTTATATCTTAGAATCAAACAGGGCCAATGTGTGTCCTCTATGTGCTTGCAGAGATTAGTTATTTTTTATTGATAGATTGATTCGCATTGTGTTAATTTTATCTATTTTAAATTTAATTGTATGCCTTTTGAGTTATGAAACTTATAAATTTTATTTTACCTATCAACTATTTCATATTTCTACTCCAACCATGCTCTATATTTTAGTTATTTATCCAAATACTATTAACTTTATAGAATGCCACATCAGCAACAAAGATAGAGGGAAATAATCTTAATGATTAAATACATTTTTGCCTAGCCTTGAAGGTTAGCTATATGAGCATCTCCAATGGTAGTAGGCATTTTACCTATCTAAATATTACTATAAAGTATACATTTTATTTTGCATGTCAACTGTTTCATGTTTCTACTCCAACCATGCTCTTTATTTTAGCTATTCATCTAAATAATATTAATTTTATAGAATGCCACGTCAATAACAAAGATGGAGGGAAATAATCCTAATGATTAAATACATTTTGTCTAGCCTTGAAGGCTAGCTACATGTAGCTAGCGAATGTGAGCTGAGCCAAAATGCCTAATCATATGCCTAGTGCATTGGAGTTGAAAAAAATGAGTCACATTAGGCATTTTGACTAACAAGCATTATATGCCTAGTGGGTTGGAGATACTCAATGTGAGTTGGGCTAAAATGCCTTATCATATGCCTAGTGCATTGGAGTTGAAAAAAGTAAGTCATGCTAGGCATTTTGACTAACAAGTATTATATACCTAGTGAGTTGGAGATGTTATGCATTCAGATGAAAAATGATTTGCTAGTCACTTAATCATATTTATTAACAATGGCAGTGATAGAGAGCTCTAATACTAGAGTTTTAACGTAAACTCTAGTGAGGTATCAAACAAAAAAAGAAAACAAAAGAAAAAGAAAAGCAAGCCAAAACATTACATCATCATGTGAGACTCACCCAACAAGCCTAGCCTAGTTGGCCACCATGCCTTTCTTTAGGTTTAGTCCCAATGAGATCATGGGTTCAATTCCCCTTAGGGAGGTTGAATTAAAGGAGTGCAAGCACTTAGATGCATTGCCAAGGGTAGAGAAATTTTCTTTCATCAATACTAATTTAACAATTAACAAGTAAGATTTGCCGATAAAAAAAAATCATGAGAAGCCCACCATTAAAACTCTTAAATTAGAACTCTCAAACATTATTGTTATTAACAAACACATTACTTAACTTTAATGTCAAATCAATCCTAAGCACTTTTTATGTCACAAAGAAGAGTTGGGCACAATGTGAGATACTCAATTTAATCAATAAAGAAATATAGAAATATTATTATTTTTTTTTTTATAAGTTGATGCAAACCAAAAAAAAAAGGGTTTAATTGGAAGTTCATTTTTTTATATTCAGAAAATGTTATAGATCCTAAATTTTCTATTAAATAAAAGATTAAATGTCTCACATAGGTGTGGAGTCCACAAAATTGCAAACCGCACACCCATATGAGACATTTGGTCATTTATTTTGTAGAAAATTTGATATTCTTAACATTATCCTTTATACTCAACTATGTTAATGAAAATGTCTAAGTCGCCCCATGAAAATTAGAATCCTTCAAATGTTACTATCAATTGCTTTTAGAAGAAAGGTGCATCTTGTATTCTTAAGCTATGTTTGGTTAGAAAATTTAAAAAATTATTTGAAAAAGAAAATCGAAAAGGTAGGTAAAATATAAATAAAATATATTTATATTTCACTTAATTTCATACACATTTGCCTTTTTTATTTCCAAATCCCTTCTTAAATCTTCCAACCAAACACAACATTACTCTATTGGATTTATACACGGATGAGAACATTGATCTAGAGTATGAGTGTAAAAATGGCTCACGGCCCATGGACGGTCCGAAACCCGCTTGCGGCCTGGGGTGGGCCTGGCTCGATTAGGCTAGGTTAGGCCCGAGCCGAACCCGAGACCCCGGGCCTTGGTCATCATTTTGAAGTTTGGCCTGCCTAGGTTGGTCTGTGACCCGGCCCATCAACCCGCTCAAGGGCCCACTCAAAGCTCAACTCGAGACCTGGTTCGTCCGAGGCCCAGTGTAATTTTTGGTGAAAAAAAATAGAAAAAAAAATTAAAAAAATGTTCAAGCCCAACCCAAGCCCGAGTCCAGGCCCACTGGCACTAGCCTCCCCAGAGGCCTGAATACACCCTAAGCCTGAGTCTGAGCTTGGGCTTGGGCCTAATTTTCTGGCCTGTGAGTTGGCTCGGTCATGCCTAAATGTTGACAAGAGCCAACAAAACCCAACATAGGCCGGATGGATCGGCCGAGCCGGATGGGGCCAAATTTACCCCGGGGGACTTGATGACTTGGGGATGTGCTTTTCTGAGTCATGACAATGTATAAGTCAAAAGTCCATTAAATCTACTGAACGAAAAGCCAAAAGCCAATATCATTTTATGAAATCACTTCACATTAGTCTTATGATCTTATCTATATTGATAGTAAGTGTAACTTAAAAGTCCATGCATCATACATGTATGTATATATATATATATATAATTGGAGTGGTGACAGTTTAGTAAAGTGGTAGAAAATGCGATAAAAAATGTTTCTGTACTTATTCTTTTTGGAATCGTGATAAATAGAAAAGAAATTTTGTATGCAATGTTTTGAAATCTAGGCGTTGACCAAACCAAAAAAATAATCTAGTCAAGGATTATTGGCTTAACCGGACGGCATGTTAACCAGTGGAATCGACCAAATAAAATTACTGACACAGAGTTTTAAAAATCCTATACATTGCACGAAATAAAATTTTAATCACTCAAAGATTTCAATCCTAGTGTGACAAAACGGTTTTGGTTGGTAGCTCGAAATTTAGGGGCCCGAATGCCCCTAAATTTCCATATAAGGCAACAAAAAAAAAACAAGGCAAAAAAAAAAAAGAAAAAAAAAAACAAACTTATCCAGAAAAGGAAATTAGGGCCATTAGGGCCACTGTTTTTAGGGCCACAATTCATTTTCCGTGACAAAAATATGAAAATGCTGTAGTAGTTTAAGTAGTTTAAATTATAAAAATAATTTTAGATCCTTTGTGGTTAAATTATAAAATCAATTTTATATTAGTCCACGTGGTTGTCAAATAAATTTTATTTTTTATATTTTTTAAAAGATAGAACAAAAATGAAATAATACTAAACAAATTTGGACTCACATGGCACAAATGAATCTTACTAAATAACAGACAGGATCATTTTGGAATAATTTAAATAAATATATTTTTTAAATTTGTAAGAAAAGATGTATAAAAAAATAAAGAAATTATGTGACCTAAAAAAATAATAAAAAATATACTAATATAAGATATGCCAAATGCCTAGTCACAATGCCTCTCAAACTTGAAAGATCTGTCTACCAACGATCATTCCCTCCTATCCTTTTTATCAAGCAAAAATTTTAAAATTAAATTAAATTAAATTTTAAAAAAATAACAATTTCCCAATTGTGTTTGTTATTGGCCTTCAATCCTTGTGTCCAAACAAAATGGTTAACTAAACTTTGCAGACATGGAGTGTCATGAAAATTCCAGATGGATCACCTAGTCTCAATTTCTTGAATAATAAAGAGAAATAGTGAATTTCAGGGATTGGAAAAGAAACTTGTTTCTCAATGGATTCATGAAACACAGTTATTGTTGTTGAAACAGACAATTGCATTATAAGAATTCAATCATAGAGTTACAAATGAAAATTTTGATAGGATGGTCACATAAAATTTATTAAGAATTCAAACAATAATAGAGAGAAAATCATGCTATGGTGCCACGCATGAGTATAGGTAGAGGAGTGTCCATTTCAACTTCATGGTTTCTTCATTTCCATATTGTTGAGGGAACCAACATTTATGCCACCATTACCACTACCACCAACTACCACCAACAGCAACCCTTCCATCACTACCACCAACAGCAACCCCTCCATCACCACCAATACCTCAACCACCACCTCCACCTCCACCTCCACCAAATCCTCCACCACCACCTCTAGGGAGGGAATTTTAAATTGAGTGAAATTTATTTATTTGTTTATTTATTTTTTTCTGAGTTTTATTTCCCGCATATATGTATGTATATATATAGGGGAGTGGAGGGGAGGGGCAGCCATTGAAACCTTTGATAAGGCCACCACCAATACCTCCTCCAACACCACCTATACCACCACCACCTATACCACCACCTCCTCCAATAGCACCACCACTACCTACACCACCACCGATACCCCCGCCAGTACCTATACCACCACCAACGGCCTCCTCCAACACCACCACTACCACCTATGCCCCCACCAATACCCCCACCACCGCCACCACCAATACCTCCTCCAACACCACCACCACCTATACCACCACCAACGCCTCCTCCACCACCACCACCACCACCACCAGCACCAACACCTCTTCCAACACCACCAACAGCTCCCCCTATTCCACCACCAATACCCCTGCCACCACCTATACCACCACCAACACCTCCCCCTATTCCACCACCACCACCACTACCAATACCTCCTCCACCACCACCACCACCTATACCACCACCAACACCTCCCCCTATTCCACCACCACCACCAATACCCCCGCCACCACCAACGCCTCCTCCAACACCACTACCACCACCTATGCCCCCACCAATACCCCCACTAGTACCACCTCCGCTACCAATGCCTCCTCCAACACCACCACCTCCCCCTATTCCACCACCAATGCCTCCTCCAATACCACCACCAACACCTCCACCACCACCACCTATAACCCCCACTAGTACCACCTCCGCTACCAATGCCTCCTCCAACACCACCACCTCCCCCTATTCCACCACCAATGCCTCCTCCAATACCACCACCACCACCTATACCACCACCTCCTCCAGATCCACCACCAACTCCACCTCCAATTCCTTTGCCTGTGCCACCCCCTCCTCCAACACCACCACCTCCTCCAACACCGCCACCACCCCCAATTCCTTTGCCAATGCCACCTCCAACTCCACTGCCAACTCCACCTCCAATTCCTTTGCCTTTGCCACCCCCTCCTCCACCACCAACTCCTCCTCCAACACCACCACCTCGCCCTATTCCACCACCAATACCTCCTCCGGTACCGCCACCACCCCCAATTCCTTTGCCAATGCCACCTCCAACTCCACCACCAACTCCACCTCCAATTCCTTTGCCTTTGCCACCCCCTCCTCCACCTCCACCTCCACCTCCACCTCCACCTCCAGCCCCAACACCACCATGACCACCTCCTCCAATCCCTCTCCCATGACTAATTCCACCCCCTCCATAATGATGCTTTTTCCCCTTCTTGTGGTGTTTTCCGCCACCACCACCATTGTCACCTCCAGCACCGCTACCCCCACCTCTGCCACCAATCTGACCACCTTGTCCAACACAATCAGGTTTTCCTACACCACTACCAGGCTCTTCATAACTAAAACCATACCCTACTCGCTTACCAAAACTGAATGAGTGCCCAAGAGTTGAACCTTTCCACCCACCGCCACCGCTAATCCAAGTCGGGTTACCATCAAGGATCCATTCTGGTTTTTTCATTTTCTCACCATTTTTCTCCTGTAATTTCCTACCCTCAATACAACCCGCAACCATGAAACACCACACCACCACCAAAAGGCACCTCCCAGACATTGATGTCCCCACGAGTACACAAACTTCACACCACAGAGACAGTGAGATAAGACTACTTCATGGCTTATATAGAAGAGAACACGCACTTACGTTATTTACTACTCCTGTGAAGGTAAGCCCACTTGTCAACTAATTTTCACTTTTCCTATGTATTTCCCTCCCTCTTTCTTTCACAATGTCACATGTCGACAAAAAATATTTACAAGTTACCAAAATTTTGAATTTGTAGTTTAGATTTAAATTTAGGGGTTGTTTGGAATTGATTTTTTTTAGTAAATATTTGTTGACTTTAGAGATTTGAGATTGGTTTTTTTAGTGCCTTTTTGTTAGTTTTTATTTTTATTTTTAGTGATTTTTTTTAATTCAAAAAATTCTACACTTTTAGATTCTACTCAACTAAATAGACTGCAAAAGTATAACTTTTTTTTGAAAAAGGTTCAAAAATAACATAGGTTTTTTTTTTTTTTTTATAGATTTTTTTTTTTTTTTTTTTTTTTTAGATTCATCCAAATATGGTGGAACTAAAACTGGCCTAGTTTGAGAATAGTCTAATTTAGTAATTTTTTGGTTATTTGGCTAAAATATGAGCTAAAAAAAACTAGTATATTTGGAATGGCATTTTGATTTTTTACGAAAAGATATGCAAAAAGTAGAAAGAAAAGAGAATCTTTGACTTTTTGGTATGAATTGCTGGCTTTTTGATTTTTTTAGTGATTTTTTGACTTTTTTACTAAAAAAGTCACTTGCTAAACGAGACACTAAAACAAAAAATCGACATAACTTATTTAAATTTTTGTTAAAAAGAATGCGAATTATTTATTAGTTGTATGCCAAACTCACTATTTTTTTTTTCATTTTTAGTGAACTTTTAAAAACAAAAAATAAAAAGTTTTAGACTTTTAAAATCTAGTAGACCAAACGAACTAGAAAAATTAAAAATATATATTTTACAAAAAATTTAAAAGAAATTCACTAAAGTTTAAAAAAAAAACAAATTTTAACACAAGTATTTTTTTTTTTTCTTTTTATTTTTTAGTATGTAGCATTATGGGATCTTTCTTAAAAAATAGTAATAATAAAAAATAGTATGGTTGGGAGGTTGTAATTGCTTTGCCACTGGGTTTTCAACACTCATCCAGCTTGTTTACCTTACCTCCTATGTATTTACGTGAAAAGGTCCAAAAATAAAATAGGTTTTTTTTTTTTTTTTTTTTTTTAAAATTCATCCAAATATGGTGGAACTAAAACTGGCCTAGTTTGAGAATAGTCTAATTTAGTAACTTTTTGGTTATTTTGTTAAAATATGAGCTAAAAAAAACTACTCCCTCCGTCCCATAATATTAGTCCCTTATTCCATTTTTCATTGTCCTAAAATATTAGTCCCTCTTCAAAAATCAAGTACAAAAATAATATAAATTTCCCATTTTGCCCTTCTTTTAAATTCATAAATAATACAAAAAGTACAATTATGACATTGATATTCTCAAAAAAGTGTACTATCAAAGGGTAATTTTGGAAAACCAACTTTTTAAAAGTACAATAATTTTTTAAAAGTACAATAATTGTACTACCAAAAAAAGTTGGATTCCCCAAAAGGGACCATTATTTTGGGACGGAGGGAGTAGTATGTTTGGAATGACATTTTGACTTTTTACGAAAAGATATCCAAAAAGTAGAGAGAAAAGAGAATCTTTGACTTTTTTGTATGAATTGTTGGTTTTTTGATTTTTTTAGTGACTTTTTAACTTTTTGGCTAAAAAAGTCACTTACCAAACGAGGCACTAAAACAAAAAATCGACATAACTTATTTAAATTTTTGTTAAAAAGAATGCAAATTATTTATTAGTTGTATGCCAAACTCACTATTTTTTTTTTTCATTTTTAGTGAACTTTTAAAAACAAAAAATAAAAAGTTTTAGACTTTTAAAATCTAGTAGACCAAACGAACTAGAAAAATTAAAAATATATATATTTTACAAAAAATTTAAAAGAAATTCACTAAAGATTAAAAAAAAAAACAAATTTTAACACAAGTAATTTTGTTTTTTCTTTTTATTTTTTAGTATGTAGCATTATTGGATCTTTCTTAAAAAATAGTAATAATAAAAAATAGTATGGTTGGGAGGTTGTAATTGCTTTGCCACTGGGTTTTCAACACTCATCCAGCTTGTTTACCTTACCTCCTATGTATTTACGTGACTAGTCTATATTTGCATTCATGGCGACCGTTATTCTCTCTCTCTCTCCAGGTGGTGATTCCCTAGACTCATGCATTTTGTAATTAATATTTTCATCTGTTAGTATATTAATCAATGTATCAATTGGTGTGTATAGTTTTATTCCAATACAATATAATATAGTATATATTGTACTAGTATATTGGTGTGAATAGCTTTATTTTAATACAAAACTAATAAAATTATATCATATCATCTCATCTATTAATACATTAATTAGTATACCAATTAATCTGTATAGCTTTATTCCAATACAATATAGTATAGTGGTGGTACCACATACACCAGTGTACTAACTAGTGTGTTCCAATATTAGTTATAATATTATTATTGACCCTACTCATTATACAAATTACAAGTATCAAAAATATCTTAAATTTTATCACATTATCAATTGATATACTAGTTAGTACACTAAATCATACATATAACATTATTCTATATTATAGTATTGCCATTGTCGCTTTCCCTTTCCAAGTGGTGATTCCCTAGACTCATGCATTTTGTGATTAACACTATATAGTACAGTATTGCCATTGTCACTTTCCCTTTGTGCCAGGCAACTGAGGCCTTTCCTTGCAAAATGGGAAAAAAATGGAATTTAGATGAGGAGAGGTGGTAGTTGATGATGAAAAAGAAGGAATGAATGAATAACAATGACTGCAAGAATTTCATGTTTACACTACTTGCCATTCCCCACAGTTGAGGCAAGCGATGCTTCACAAGATGCATTAATTGGTTTGAGAAATTATATAATAAAAAAATAAAAAAATAAATTAAGATTTGATTATTGTAACAAAATAAATTTTGAGTTTTTTAATTTTATCAATTAAAAACTTAATTTTTTGATTTATTTTCAATCTAAATTAGTTACCTATTTTCATTAAGTAAAACCGGAAAAAAATATTTTACTCATTAACTCAATAAAAAAATATATATTTTTTGACATTTTATATATACTTATATTGAGTTTAATTCAAATTCACATTTCAATATTTTAGACATTTCAATTCAAATTCACATCAATGATTCGAATCATTTATTTTGTAGGTCTCGTAATGAAAGTCATTCATGTAAAAAATTAATTTTATTGGATATATATAAATACAATAACAAATCACATTTTATTTTATAAAATGAATAGTAAATAGGATTGTAAACTTAAACCATTTATTTTATAAAACAAAACGTGGTTTGTTTCTGTATTCTGATAAATCTAATTTTTTATATGAATAATATTACTATAAAACCTATGAAATAGACGGTTTGGATCATTAAGGTGAATCTGAATTGAAACTCATAAAAGAAGTATGAATAAGTATGGAGAGAGGAAGTATGGAGGGAACTTATCCCAAAAGTTAAAAACAAAAAAAGAGCAAAACAAAACAAAATAATATTAGCTCTGTTTTGGAATTTTTAAATAATTGTTTTTCATTTTTACTAATAAAATGGTGGACAAAGATTCTGATAAACTGGACATTATACCCTAGAGTTGTTTGGTTTTCGGTTGGGTTATGGCCAAGCCCAATAGAGTGAGGGCGGATAAATAATCTAATTTTGAGTTTTACAGTAAAGGTTTAGGCCCAAGTCTAGCCCATTTAAGGGATTTTACCTTCTAAGAACATATGTGATCATTCATCAAATCTTTCAATAAATTTAAATTTTGATAAATGTAAAATCTAATTCATTCATTAAAATTATATCAAATTAAGCTTTTATTAAAACATTTATAAAATGAGGAATGAATCAAATTTTTTATCAAATTTCCAACAATCACTTTCCACTTAAATTTGATGAAATTGTTAAAAGATAAAATATTGGAGATCATTTTTTTAAAAACCTAATTTGGTTAAAGGAAGTTTTTGGGACATGTTAGAGCATCTTCAACCCTGAACCAAAGTTTTCATCAAATCTGAGTAAAAAAATGACTTTTTCCTCAATCTGATACCGAGTGCTCCAACGGTTGATTTTCATCAAATTTTCATCAAATCTGTGCCGAGATAACTGGTTGGTTGACCGGTTAAGCCAAAAATTTTTTTTTTTTTTTTGAACTTTTTGAACCTTTTAGTGGTCGACCAGTAAGACAAATTATTTTTTTTTTTTTTTTCAACTGTTTGACCTTTTTTCTGGAACTGTTTTAACATTTTGGTGGTCGACCGGTTGGTCAACCGGCTGGTCGACCGGTTGGTCTCCCCCAGCGGTCATGCACAGTGTTTTGATGAAATGCGGAGCCTGTCCTTATTTTGGTGAAACATTTGTTGAAATCTCGATTTGATATTAATTTGGTGAAACCGTTGGAGCATGAAAAAGTGTTTTTTTCACCAAATTTTAAATTTGATGTCAGATTTGGTTCAATGTTGGAAATGGTCTTAGATACTTTTAAAAAGATTTGATGAAAAGTAGGATTCCCATCTTTAGAGTGAGTTATATCAAATCAAGTTTTTGATCTAATTTGTTAAACAAATTTAATAAAACAAAAGATAAAGATTTGGATATACTTTTATATGACAAAAAGTGATAAAAGTTACACCAAATTGTTTTATCAAGTAAAGTAATAAATTTTAAAATTTATTCAATCTTGATTTACTAATTTAACGATTCAAACAAAAATTCAAACTTAAATAACTTGGTTGGTTTTGTGACCATAATCACAGGGGCCTCAGACAACACAAAGTCGAGCCAAAGAAGCTGGCACCTCCTCTATCCAAATAGCTTGGTCTTCAAGATTTATGGCCATCCAAGCGAGGCAGTGCGCTACCAAATTGCCTTGACGTTTCACATGCATTACCAATGGCTGATCAAAATGCCGAAGACCATCTCGAATAGAGTTCATAGTATGGCCATAACATGCGAAGCATTGAGAAGATGAATTGGAGGCAGTGACAATGCTCAACGAATCAATTTTCAAAATGCACCTGACGGAGCCCCAAGTCACGATCAAAGACAATCACACTATACATGGAAAGAGCTTCCAAGCTATCGATGTCAATTACGCCTGCAATCCTCCTAGACAAAGCAGCAATAATGTCTCCACGGTAGTCACGAACCACGACCCCAATCCCCATAGCCTTGTGCCTCTTAAACACAGCTCCATCAAGATTGACTCTGTAGAAATCCATAAGGGGAGGACACCACCGTAACAAATAAGAATGAGACACCGCAACAAGGTATTGAGCCGATTGAAATTCATGGAGGTACCCCCACAGCAATGCTAGCAATGGAACGTTGGTGTTTCCTACTTTTCAATCTTTCTTTTTTCTCTCTTTCCCCATCCTCCTCTAGATTTTATTTTATTTTTTTTAGTAGTCTGGCTATTACTGTCTTACATTTTTCACGGTTAAACTCAAAATTTTAAGATTTAATTTCAAATCTTTTTACAATCCGAAAGTTAATACTGGATGTCCCTTTTGTTTGACGCTAAGCGACCATATCAACCTCAATATTCTATTTTAACAAGCAAAGGTAGAGTCTTAGATTCCAAGTTCAAGGTTGCGAAGTAGTAGAGCTTTGGATGAGTTCAATGGCACCTTGAATTTGATTTTTTTCTGATTGATTTTCTTATTTTTTTAATTTATTGATATAATAATGGTTCATATGGAGATTTTTTTCCCATTTTTGTGAGATTCTTTTCTTCTCTTCTATAAAGGTTTGAATCCTTTATTCAATAAAGATTTTCCTCCTTTTAAGATCCTGTAATACAGATGTACCACATTGATCTAATATTTTATTAATTTTGTAATGAAAATTTTCTTTCCAATCTTTTAAAAAGAAAAGAAAAAATGAAAATAGTGCTTGACCACGATAACTAGCAAGTGCAGTGGTGTATTGTAGCATGATCTTCTTACAAACAGCCACGTCAGATCAGTTTATGCTGACCTGAAAAGTCTCAAACCTTCCAAACGTAAAAGTCAAACAATAAAACAGTACCAACCACACCTGCGCACTTTAGTATCACTGACACACCCCATCACCAAATGTTCTTCATCCACACCCCTCTCTCTCACCCCCACTTCACCAAACCCTAATTCTTGGGCTCAATACTCCTCAAATTTTGTTCGTATTCTCTCATTCATCCTTAATTCAGTCTCAATCTCTCAAAAAATCAGCACAGTTTGAGTTCTATATTGTCGATTGTTTTCGAACTCGTTTGATTCAAGGTAAAAATTAGGGCTTTTCTGTGTCCTCAATCTCTCTCTATATATATAAATGGATGACACTGAAGATGATGCTAGGTATCCACCGAAACACTACGTAAATCATTCCTCAACCTATAACGCTTCTTCGATTCGCTCAAAGCATTCCAATCGAAACCCCTCTTATCCAATCACCAGTAATTATCGCGATGAATATGAAGATGACGAGTTAGCTGAAGAAGAAGAAGAAGAGAATCTCGAATTGGACGGTCAAGATGATGATGATGATGATGATGATGATGATGATGAGGATATTGAAAATGGGTTCGGCGATGAGTCGGAGAGGCGGCAGAAGAAGAGAAGGTTGGAGAGTTTGGTTTCGAATTACGAGTTTGTTGCTCGAAAACCATCCTATGTTGTTAGGAATTCATCGGTGGATTGGACAGAACACGCCACCTCTGTGTTGCTAGAGGCTTGGGGAGGTAGGTATTTGCAATTGGGGAGGAAGAGTTTGAGTTCTGAGGATTGGCAAGAGGTGGCTGAGAAGGTTTCCGAGGAATCGAAGGTGGAATGGACCGACACGCAGTGTCGAAACCGGTTGGATACCTTGAAGAAGAAGTATAAGAAAGAGAAATCGAAAATGGAGTCAATGGGTGGATATACTAGCAAATGGGTTTTCTTTAAGAAAATGGATATGTTGTTGAATTCATCATCATCATCATCAACGCAACAATGTGGGTTGCCTTGTGGGGTTGATTCTGGGGAGTATGTGTTTATGAATCCAAGAGTTTATTTGAATCGGTCGAATGGGTTGGATGAGATGAGGGATAGTCCTGATGAGTCAGAGTCATTGTCTGACGACGATGAGGATTCGGATGAGCTTCCTCCTAAAAGGAAAGGGTTTAGAGGAGAGGGCAATGATGGGTCATCGTTTAGGTTGTTGGCCGATTCAATTCAGAAGTTTGGGGAGATTTATGAGAAGATTGAGGATAGTAAGAGGCAGCAAATGATGGAGTTGGAGAAGATGAGGATGGATTTTCAAAGAGAATTGGAGGTGCAGAAGAAGCAGATTCTTGAGAGGGCGCAAACCGAGATTGCTAAAATACGAGAAGGAGACGATGAAGAAACTGATGTTTCTGCAGAGAATCTGAGTGTTTAATTTAGGTAGCTTTCTACCCTTTATTGTATTATTCGTGTAAAGTCAGTTTGGAATCAATGGGTTTGCTATAGTTGTTCTAGTTGTTCCTATTTATGTGGGTGCTTCTATAGAAAAGTATTGTGTTGATTGGAGAAGTAATATATCACAAGAAGTCATTTATTAGGAGTAATAAATCGGGAAAACTCATTGCTTCGTGATGCTTTATTTTATCCCAAGTCTTGTTATTGCCATTAAATTGTGGGACTCAACTCCGAGTACTATTTATTTTGGTAAAAAAATTCCCGCTTTGGGTGCTGACATTGAATATCTAAATAATAAAAGACTCTGATTGCGAGCATATGGTCAGATGTGTGCTCTGATGGATAGGAACAGTGTTTTAAAAGGCGCGCCTAAGCGCAAGGCTCCTTGCGCTTCGAACAGATAGAGGCGAGGCGCAACACGCAAGGCGCAGTTTAGGCGCTGAGGCGAGGGCTTTTTTTTCGAAGCGCAAGGCGTGGGCTTCATGGGCTTTACCCATTTTTCTATTCCAATTGTTGATTAAGTACTTTTTTTTGTGGACATACCCACAAGGATTCAAAACTATTCAATATAAAATGACTAAATGTAGTCAAAAGAGAGCAAAAAGTAATAAAAGATTGAATGTTATACTTTATATCTTTTGTTGAATATTATATTTCTGATTTTTAAAAGATTGAATGTTATGTTTAGGAATTATCGAAAATGGTTATGATTTTTTTTAAATATTATATATATATTTGTTATGTTGAAAAATTTGCCTATTTTATAATTTTGCTTTTCTTCTACTACTTGAGCTTCGCTTTGGTGAGGCGCGCGCTTTGCTTCATGCCTCATGCCTCGTGCCTCGTGCCTCGTGCCTCGTGCCTCGTGCTTAGGCTATAGGAGACATTATCGCCTCAGTGCTCCTAGAGCCTTTTAAAACACTGGATAGGAAGAATGGTAATCTTGTTCTCTCTTTTTTAATCAGATAATAACATTTAGAAAATGGTAGTTAAAAGGCTTATGCCTTTTGTTATAAGGCCTGGGCTCATCTTTTAAAATGAAATAAAAATTATGGAATGCCTTGCCTTGAGCTTTTTGACTTGTAAACATTGGCTTTAATTGGGCCCTTAAGTGTAAATTTTTAATAGAGAATTTTTACCCTTTTGTTGATAATAGATTTGTTTTACTTAAATTCATTTCCGTCTATAAATGAGAGCAAGAAAAGAAAAAAATGAAAGCAAGAAAAGAAAAAAGGAAGGTTTATCTGTATTCAATGAAGGAGAAGAATACCTTAAGCTATCAAAGGATTACCCTGTCTGCTAGGCCACCACTACGATTGTGGAGCTTATCAAGAACCATACAGAAGGGTACAGTTGGCTGTAGGTGTTGAGAATTTGCTAAAAATGGAAAAATTACATTCCCTTTTTCAGTGATCTTTTTGAAAAGAGAACATTTTGGAAGCCTTTTACCAACTGAAATTTGGTCAATGGCATTTGCGTTAGCGGGTTTGAATGTTGTCTAGGTGTGTACACAGTGTGGTTGTAATACAAACAGACATCATCAACTCTATGTTTGGTAAGGTATGGAAAGTAGGGGGTTTATGGGGAAGGAGGATTGATGGAAGAAGAGAACCTAGGGAATAAATTGTCTTCCCTTGAATTATTCCCTAATTTTCATTAAAAGTAAGGAGACATTGAAGATCATTTCACATTTTTAAGAAGAGCAAGAGTTCTTTCCTTCCCTCACCCAATTAACTTAAGTTGAATCAATTTTTGTGGGCCTGGGTGGATTGCTCTTATCTTCTCTTTTCTCTTCCATTCCCTCATCCCTCCTACCAAATGAGGGTAAGTGTCCCTCCTCACCTCCTTTTCTTTTCCCATCTTTCCCCCATACCAAACATAGCATAAATGATTACACAAGTTCAAAGGAAGTTATATTGGTCCCTTGGTAAGTTGCAGCAAATGTTTTTGGACTCCATTTAATGGAAAATCATACTTCCCTTTGATTTACTTAAAGAGCTATTTTACATGGCAACAACATAGTTAATCAGAGATTAATATTGATCAAGGTGTTTTGTTCTGCAACCTACCAACATTTATTTGTCCAATTAGAAATAGACTAATATAGAAATGCCCTTGTACTAGTTGTAATCACTGAAGAGGAAGATGTCACTGATATAAAATCCCTGTAAAAAGAAAGTGGAAGGACTTCCTTAATCAATTAGTGCTTTTTTCGAATGTTCCTATGCATTAAAATTATACTTCTTGCATGTTGACACTCAAAAGCTTATGGTTTTGAAATTACTAATAATAAGAACTTGACTGCAGGAGTTGCATTCTAACATTGATACTCATAGGTATGCCACTGAAGATAAAAGCAAACGGCGTGGCACATTTAACTCTTAAACCACTTAAATGCATTAAATTTCAAAAGAGGGTGTTTATCATAATTCTTTGGCAATGCATGTCATAGCTTTTTTTGTTTTTGTTTTTGTTTGTTTTTTTTTTTGAAAGTAGAGGAGGGCCACCTAGAACTAAATAATTATTCCTAACAAACATAATTGGTAATTGATGAAAAATTAGGATCTTTGGGTGACTCCGTAGTGTGTAACATGGTTTTATTTATTTATTTATTTATTTTAATTTTTTACTTTGAAGGGGAAGGGGCAGCCCTGGCAGACAAAAGCAGAGACATCTTCCTATTTTTACTTGTATCCCTGTAGGTAGTTGGAATGAATAAAATTCAGGCTTAGAAAACTTGTAATTGAGAGGATCTAATATCACCTGATCCTGTTGGTTCTTAGCTTGCATTATTCTCCACGTGGTGACATTTTAATGTTCTCGATAATGTTTCAACGTCATACCAGATCAAGAAAATGGCAACAATATTTATGAGCGACCATTTCTCAAAATATTTTATCTACTTTTGTTGGTTACTAAATTTGTTTCTTGGGAAATTATTAATCAGACAACTGATGATTTTTACAGTCTTCAATGTTATATAGAGTTCCTGATCGATCTTTTATTAGTGCCACAAATTATTACTATGTTTCCAACTTTTCAATGGAAAGAATTGGGGGTTTAGTACTGTTTGTTTTATATGGTAGTGAGGTCTGAGGGGCATTTTGCTCAACACACTTTTTTTTTTGGGTTCCTTTTTCCAATTGTTTTCTTGAGCCTGTTGTACCATTTTTTAGATGTACCAACTTAAATTTGTAGGTAGTAATTTTATTTAGATATAATATTTATATTAATATCATAGAAGATTCTGGTTAACCCGAGTAAGTGGAGTTTTTTTAGTATTCTATACTGATATTTATTATTATCGTCTTTTTATTTTTTTAATTTTTTTCCTTAATGTGGTTCTTGTGTCAAACTTATTGTACTCTTTTTTGGATAAGTTTCCACAAAATGTAATGTCAATAACAAATTTTAAATATACAGATTATCAGCAGGTTAGAAGTTTAAGCCGGAAGATGACGATGGAACCTGCTGTAATTCTTGAGGAAGAGACATTTGCTCTCATCTTAGTGGAAGCAGGAGTAGACAGGGTACAAATTCTTGTGAAATCTCCGGGTTTTTTTATGTAATGTGCTACGCATGGATATATATATATATATATATATTAACTATGCATCATTATTATTGTTATATTTTTTTACTGAAAGTCAATGATTTGTAACTTGTTGGCTTATGAATTCATAATCCGAGTTTTTCTTCGTCTCGGCCTCATATTAATGAATTCTCTGACCCTCAAATATGAATAAATGCATAATTGAGCTTCTATTATTATCATCTCTGTTGAACCATAAGATTTGAGATTTATCTGTCGAAACTTTCTTTCTGATGAGAAAATTTGACTCCCAACATGATTTCTCATAGGGTTAGGAGATAAGTGTAGCTATGTTGAACGCTAGAGATGTCTGTTGTTGGATTCATTGTTAGTTGGAAAGTTGTAGCAATAGAGACATGGTGCAGAGGAACTTTCATCTTTCAAACTGTGAAAGCTTAAGTGTTGATTGAATAATTTGAACATATCTGTTTTATATGTGTCTTGAGTAATTCAACTCTCTTTCTTGTCTTAGAAAATGAACATACGAAAAGCACCTTCTCCTTTTACTTGGAAAAAGAACAGGTTATTGCAGTCAGGCTCCATGATGGAAATTGCTTGGTTGAGCTTTTGTATTCTTCATGATTGTTTCAAAGGTGAAAATATGTTGTGTTGGATTGATAATTCTCATGACTATCATTTTTTAGGTTGTGTTTGGATTTTAAATTTGTGGGGGTAAACAGAAAAGGAGAAGGGCATAAAAGAAATGGAGTAATAACATGTTTGGTTGTATTTTCATTTTCTATTTTCATTTTTTGGAAAACAAGAAAATTTATTTGGCGTACCATTTTGAAAAAAAAAAAACTATTATTCATGATTTTTTTTTTATTTTTGGAAATAAATTGTTTTTTATGAAACACCAAAAAGTAATTTTCAAAATTTTCTTTTTGCACAAAAGTGAACAATTCAACCACCATGGGTGCTTTAGAACTTTTTTATTGTTTTTGGAAATGCAAACACAACATTTTTTTCTCTTTTTTGTTTCATTTTTTTTTTTCTCTACAAATTTAAGATCTAAATACAATATTGTGGCTTGGCATGCTGGTAAAGCTTGCAGTTAGCGGCCTTGGTAGTGTGGGTTTGAGTCGTAGATATAACCTCCTTATAAATAGAGGTAAGGTTACATACATGTTGCTTTTTTCGGAACCTACGTTATAAAGAGACTTGTATATTGAATTGCCTCTTCAAATTTATTTTTCAAAATAACCTCAAATTTTCAAAAAATAGTAAAATGATTCTTTCAGAATATGGAGTACCATGTTCATTCTCTGTCATAATATGGAGTTCCAGGGTTTACATGTATAATAGAAAACAACATTCATGACAGTGTCCAAAACAAGCACCAAAGAGTACATAGAAACCAACATAGGGCCTTCCCACAATCTCATCCCTCTACATACCCTAAACTCAAACAGACACTCAACTAACCTAAAACCCACATTGCTCAACAGAGTCATGACTAGGGCTGTTTGGCCCCTCCCTTTCATTATACTCCTAGCCTTCATCAATGACTCTAACCCAAAACACTCACCCTCCAATACAGACAAAACCCTAGCTAAGTTACCCACAACCATAACATGTGCAAAAGCCACACAGAAGGGTACCCCCAAAAACCCCAAGGCACCCCAGAATCCGAATGCCTTAGAACATATCCCACAAGCAAACAATACCTTTGGCAGAATAGCCAAACCGAAAACCAAGACTCCGAAGAGGCCTAGTACAGTCAAGAACTCCCAAAAACTTGTGTGAAGAAGCTTGATCCAAGCCAATCCACTTCTTGTCAATATCCTTCTTCCATTGAGGTTGATTCCAGTGTAGCTATCTGAAACTGCGTGAATGGTGGCGGCTCTGCCAAGGAGAGAGAAAGTGATGGTTGAAGGGAGGCAGATCATGATGTGGACAAGGATTTTGGAGAGTAGCTTCAGCAGTGGCAAATGGCCATTTTGTCCAAGTAAATGGTTTGTGAGGTTAAGCATGGAGAAGGGTATTTGTGGAAAATTGTGGATGAGGAAGTGAGAGATGAAGAGAGAGGTTGGGAGGGGTGAGAAGAGGAAGATGGAGATGGAATGGAAATAGGTAGTGTGAAGAAGTATAATTCTGATTGATTCTCTGAAAATTTGAGCTGTGTCATGATTGGATTCAAGGGCTTGTGTTCTTCTTCTTGGCATTCTGTGGAGAAGAGTGAAAAATTGTTGGAGATGAAAGAAATCTCAGCCTGTTTGTTTGTAGATTTTAGTTGATATAAAAAGGCCTCATGGTTAGCACTTAGGATTTAACTAAGGTTTTTGGTTGCTTGCTTGCTAATATTTCATGATTGAAGAGGTTTGTTTTGAGGGTGGTCGTATCATATCATATTAACAGTCCTTTTTCTTATTCTTGGCTCTTTGGGTTATCTTTTAATGCTATCAATCACGGGGATATAGAAAATTGTAGGAGGTTTTTTTTTCTTTTTTATTTTTTGTTTTTTATTTTTTATTAGAGCTGATTTCATATGTTTTTTATATCTTGGATGTGAGTAGAGATTTACAAATTCAAATTCAAATCTAACATTTAAATTCAATCTTAACTAATTGAAACTAATTTAGTTGATCAGAATCTTTGCATTTATCTTCTCATTTCTATACTACGGTCTATAATGTACTACAAAAAATGTAATTTCTTAATTTACTCGTGACGGAACAGTTGTCAATTATGTAAAAATCTTTTAACATTTGGATCACATGCTTGCTTATTAAAGCTAGCTAATGATGAGAGTATGTGCCTATCCAAGCTCTTGTTCTTTGGAAGGTTCAATCTGGTAAGTCTAGCTAATGACATGAGTTTTTTTTTTTTTTTTTAATAAAAAAAAATAAAATAATTATGAGTAATAGGTTAAAAGTTAATTTTTTTTTATTCTTTTATAAAAAAATATTTAAAAAAATGGTGAGGTGATAGCAATAAAAAAAAATTAAAAAGTTAACTTTAAATCATTTTGTCAAAATAGGCCATAGGATTGGAGTTATAGACTAGAGGGTCTACATATTGGGGGTGTGTGAGAAGATGAGTTTGAGGCTAAAATAGCCTCAAACTAAAAAAAAAAAAAAAAAAAAAAAACCAAAAAACCCCCAAAAAAAAAAAAAAAAAATTAGACTCTAAACAAAAACATATATATATATATAGCTAAAATCGCGGGCAGTGTAAGCACAGCCTACACTGTCACATTGACAAGTTGTGTCATCCCTTGATAAATAACGATTTTGTCCCTTTACATCAATTTCTAAAAAATATGATCTTAGGGACAAATTTGTCATTTTAACTTCAAACATCATTTCAACATATTTTTCAATATAACAATTCAAATAAAAATTCATCATATTTTTCCAAACACAAAAACTAAAATAGCCTATTAAAATAGTCAAAAAGCTAAAAAAAACTTCTAGTTATTGTGTTTTGGGAAGTTGGTAAAAAAATAACTTTTGGCTTTTTAGTTTAATATTTGTTTATGGTATCAAATCAAATTAAAATGACCAAAATACCCTTACACAACATAAAAAATTAATTTTTTTAGTTTTTTATCATAGGTCCCAATTTGTAATTTTACACTTGTGTTTTTAGCACTTTCCAAATCAATTTTATTACATTTTTAAATATTTTGACAAAAACGTGACTTTTTTATTTTGGTCCCAAAACGGCACTATATGTTTAGGGTTTTAACCTTAACTAAAAAGTTGACAATGTGGCAAGAAATACATAATTGTGACGTTGGAGCTTTTTAGGGTGGTTTTAGAAGCAAAGGATTCATGATTTCTTTGAATTAGAGATCATGATTTTGCCCTCCTTAAAATGGGCCTCCTATTGGGGAGGAATTTGTCTGTGGATGGAATGATGAGAGAGATGTTTATACTAAAGTGAAACACAAGTTTTCAAAAACAGCTTTATAAGTTTTCAGTTGGTATTTTGATATTTTTAATATTTTAATTAATTTTTTAAAAATTTTAAATTTACTTAATCTTAATTTATTTAAAATATTAAAAAAATTGTACAAAAATTTTATTGAATACAAAAAAATATAAAAATATATTAAATTTTAGTATTTTTTGTATTTTTTTGTTTGGTTGTTTTTAATTTTATTTTTTTTAACAAATATTATACTTTTAAAGTGTATTTAGATTAGGTGTATCTAAAAAAAATTAAAAAAAAAATTACGTAAAATATTTAAAAAATTCACTAAACATACAAAAATTACAAAAAATTAAAAAAAAACTCAATTTTTTAAAAAAAATGAATTCAATTTTTTGGAACCAAACATGGTACCAATTTGAAATTCAATACATCATCCCCTGAAAGTTGGAGTAATGCTCATGTATACATGGAAAATTATATTATTTTAAATTGAAAGTTGATAATTAATAAATAGAATTTAAAACACTCTTTTTTTTCGGTTAATCAATTTTTTCAGGTTTACAACATAAACTATAAACAAACCAATTAGGCACAAAATTCTGAAATTAAAAATTAGAAAAAAAAAAAAACTAATTGTTGAAAATTCAAATCACTCTGACTATATCCCAGGTGAAGTAGTATTTCTTTCCTAACCTAGCTGAACTTTTAAACATGTGTTTTAAAAAGCATATTTAGTTTTGTGCATATATAAAAAAAGCTTCTAGTCAGTTGGCAACAAGTGCAGTATTTATTTATTTATTTATTTGTTCCTTGCTCATTTGACTGATGTGTAAAAAGTGGCATTGGCATCAAAATTTGAGGCTAGACATGTTCTGGCCAGAACATTGCACCTGTTTCTCGTCTGATCTGTGAAAAAACAGAAACGATTTGTGAAACTTGTTTGGTAAATTATTTTCAAAAACTGTTTAAAGAAAAAAAAAAAAAAAAAAAAATTGAAAGCGAAAAGCATTAGAGATCAATCATCGTGGTTGATGAAGCATCACTACAGAATTCTTCAGAGTGTCCAATATGCCTTATATTATGCATTAATTTCCAAACAAATTTTATCTAAAATATCTTATAATTCCAAGAATATGATGTAACCTCAAGAACAGTTAAAAAAAAGAAAAGAAAAAGGAAGGCAGCCAAATGAACACAATACCACAAAAATAAAACAGAACAATAATCAAGAATACTAAAAACCTCTGTTTGGTTGTCGAGAAAACCATTGGAAAGGTCGGGAAAATGCACTTGATGTTCATGTTGTGTTGGCATCCAGAAATTTTTAACTGCAATTTACAAAAAATTTCAGATATTTATGTCAGTTATATGTTTATACAACTCCATTAATGCTACTTTCTCTAATTCTGTTGTGTTGTCGACTTTTATGATGAGCCCTTCGGCCAAAATCAATCTTTCGAGTCACGGAAATAGCTTCTTCAAAAGGGTGATGCTATGGTACATTTAGGTGTACCATACATTTAGTTATGAACTTATATGATTTTATATCATAACCTATACCATATTAGTCATAACTATCACCATATTAACTCATAACTTAGTTATATTCAATTATTTACTTATACCATATTGTAACCTCAAGAACAGTTAAAAAAAGAAAAGAAAAAGGAAGGCAACCAAATGAACACAATACCACAAAAATAAAACAGAACAATAATCAAGAATACTAAAAACCCTCTGTTTGGTTGTCGAGAAAACCATTGGAAAGGTCGGGAAAATGCACTTGATGTTCATGTTGTGTTGGCATCCAGAAATTTTTAACTGCAATTTACCAAAAATTTCAGATATTTATGTCAGTTACATGTTTATACAACTCCATTAATGCTACTTTCTCTAATTCTGTTGTGTTGTCGACTTTTATGATGAGCCCTTCGGCCAAAATCAATCTTTCGAGTCACGGAAATAGCTTCTTCAAAAATGGAAGTAAGAGTCCATACATCATTCTATTTTCAAACTTTTTTTCAATAAGAGTCTTGTGCGTTGAATTGTCGTTTTTATTCTCAAGAAAACCCTATTCTAAAAAATGAAAATTACAATACAATTTTTTTTTTTTTTTCATCGATGATGTAAAATTATTTTAATACCCTTTTGATCCCATACCCTCTCTACATCTCTTCAGGAAATAGCTCTTCCTTGAGGGAAGGAGCAATCCACTGTATCTGAATATATGTAATTTCCCACAAATCATCACCTTCCTTTTGCACCAAGATCTCATTTTCTTTCATTGTTGTGATCATCTTGTTCAACAAATCTGGAATTATCTCTTGCACTTTTGAATTTCCATACTCACCCAATTCAGCTTTCATACATGTATCCATCCTCCTCAATATCCCCAACCAAAATGTCCTAAACCCCGAATTCTCCGATATCGGTTTCAAGAATTGCAAGTACACTTCTGTCAATAGCTCCATTGCAATCTTCAATGTCCCTTCCATGCTTCTCATCTCTCTCTCCGCATTCTCTCTCCTCGAATACTCCAACATTTTCTCGTGTAGATCATCAACCATTGCGAATATCACAAGGTTAAAACAATTTATACAATTTGCCGGTGTGAAGTATAGTTCCTCGGCTAATGTGAAGCTTTTTTGTAAGGCTGAGATGGCATGGTTTCTTATCTCTTCGCGTCGTGCCAAGCTAGTCTTTCTCAATGCTTCACCAAGCTTGACGAATAAATTCACAGTGAAGCTAGTCGAGCCAAGAGATTTCAAATTTTCTTCTAAAGACGAGCAACTCGTGTTGCTCACCATACTCACACTGCTTCCAGGATCTGAGTATCCGCTTTTGTACCATTGGATTAACATGTTCACAGAATCTGCCATCAAGTCCATAATTTTCATGTTTTTCTCCGATGGAGTGTTTTTTAGAGCGATAAAACCAAATGCACAATCAATGCAATAAGCATAGTTTGTGCGCGATACGTTGTTTCCATCAGACATCAACGAGATGAGTGTCTCAACGGCCAAATCATAGGTTTCAGGGTGCCTCCCAGTGACCGATAACAAGTGAAGAACCGATTTCCATCCCATTTGCGTATGCAAATTTGCCGGGTAATCTATGATGATTTTGCTTACAGATTGTGCTAGGAATTCACAAGAAGTATCGATAATTTCTTTGTCGAGCTTCCACATTAGATTTATAGACTTGAAAATGAGCTCCTCGGGGAGTTTTTCAGGTTGGTACGAGGAAAGGAGCTTGAGACATATCTTCAAGAGTGCAACAATGGCTTTTTCTGCAAATGGAACAGGGGAGAAGAGAGGAAATTGAGTGACTGCGAGCAGAAAATCATGGTACTGAGGCCAAAAAGTTGTGAATCTGTGAGTATTCGCCAAAGTAACGGTCAGGATCAATTCCCAACAGAATCCAACGGTTTCTTCTTCCTCCACCGGCGTGCTGAACTTTTGCCCTTTCCCGGCTGCAGAAAATATCAAGGAACGCCCAAGATTCATCAACGGTTCATCGGGCAATTTTGAACTAGTGGTGAAGATGTTCCCAACTTGGCATTGTTGGATGACTTTTAGATTCTGCTCAAATTCGCTCACTCCGAGGTTCAAATTTTCTTCCATGCTTTCCATTGACAGAAAATGCGAGAATCTGCCTACCAAACCGGAACCTCGACGACTGTGTTTGGGGAAGAGCACACATGACTCGGATTTTGAGTGAGTTCCATGTTCAGATGACGAGGCAGAACCATTATCGGGTTCAATAATAGTTTGAGGGAGAAGCTTTAGCCTTTTGAGTTTCAACAAACAATCAATAATGTTCCTCCAACCACCTCTGATCGATTCCCCGAAACTATTTGCGGTAGTGAAAACCGCCAGAGTTGCCATTCTCGGCTTCATATCGTGGCTAAACGCATAAAGGGTCTCTTCTGAAGACGCATATGGATTCAACAGTGTAGTGAATTTGCAAAATGAGGCTAAAAGTTCATCAAGAGTGTCTTCTAGTCCATACTGAGCAATCCTTGCAACCGAGAACAACCCTTCGATGCATTCGTGGAGGATTTCTTCGTCATCAGCCTGTTCAAAAATTGCTGAAAGCGATGCAACTGAGGGACCCGCTATTGTTGCGAACATGTCTCTTCCAAGCCGTCGATCAAAATCACACAATATAAAAGAGTGCATTATTTTGGCTCTGTTCATTAGCTCAATCCACCTGCTTGGATTCATTTCGATTGGAGTACCAGATTGCCCGAAAAGCTTGATTGCATTCATTGAAATCGAATGGAAAAGCTCAGATAAGTACTCTCTGGGAAGATCTTTGCCTTCGTTGATAGCTCGGTTGTTTCTGATGAATTCCTCTTCTGTCATTTTCTTCTTCACTTGTGGATTGTGTTGATCAGTGTTGAGCATGATGAGAGAATAGCAAAGAATGAACACTGCATCTTTGTTTGCGAAAACTTCGGACGCTTGTTGATCATAAAACTTCTCCGAAAATGCTTCTAGAATTCTGTGGATCTTCTGGGACTCTCCTGGCAACCGAAAAGTTTCCAGAAAAGTCCTTAAAGCAGTGTCAAGAATCATCCCGGAAAACTCAAAAGTGTTGGTGAATTCTTTCAGGACTTGAATGTGGAACTCATCAGGGTCCCCTAAATAGTCTCCAATCATGGTCTTGTCAATCCGAGGCGTGTACCTAAAGAAAATAGCGAGTGCTTTCGGATCAGGAGGATCCGAAAGCAACTTTGATATCTTCAGGTACTCCAATCCCTTTTTCTCATCACGGTTAAAATGATTCCCTGCAATCAAAATTTTCCTTTTTTGAGCCTTTCTCATTCTGACAAATTCGACCCAAGTAGCCAATTCATTGTCATCTGTCAATTTCTCTTCCCAAAAAGGCCTGTACTCGGAAATCTCAACCGGGTATGGACCAGAAGGGCTTGAATCGTCATCTTTGTCTATGTTGTCAGCAATGGTTTGAATTATGACTACGAGGCCTTCGAAGGCTTGGACCTGTAAACTTGTCAGAGCACCGCCAGTTGGAAATGCGTGCTTGCAGAGCATTTTTCCGATATCTTCAAAAACATTCCGGAAGGTGGGATCACAGTCATAGTTGACATAGACTTCAATGATGAATGTGGGTTGTCTACAAAAGTTTATGATTCCTTCAACTGCAACTTCTTGGAGCTGAATGAAGTGTCCCAAATTCACAACTCTAAACAGCACAAATGTGAAGAATGATTCTAATTGAAGACGAATAGACCTGCATAGAAAACCATTTTTGGATTAATTTAGTTTCATAGTATTTAGGATTAAGTACACTGTCCATACCCAAAATACACGCTGTTTGTTACATTTCAGTACATTTTTTAATTGTGTCAATTTATTTCACTTTTGTGGTACTTATATAATAAAAGTAGTAGAACTCACTGTATTTAAAAATAAAAATAAAAAATGGATAAAATATACTTTCTTCCTTGAACTTTCATTTGAATTTCACTTTAGTCTCATCTTCTAATTGTAACAATTAAGTACTTCAACCCTTGTTTCAATATAACCATTTTGTCATCCACCATGAACAAGATAAATCTCAAATTTTACTTTGGTCTCATCTTCTAATTGTAACAATTACGGCCATCTCCAACCGTGTACCAAATCCAACACCAAATTCAAATTTGATGAAAAGTAGCTTCTTTTCTTATTCCAACGGTTTCAACAAATATGTATCAAATCGAGAATATCAAAAATGTTTAACCAAATTGAGAACGTCTGGGACATTTCAGCATTTCACTGTTCAGAACTGTTGTTTTTGGGCACCGGATGACCGTCGGACATCCGGCCAGATGTCCGCAAGGTTATCTGCTTAGTTGATTTGCAATTCCCCCATAAGTTGAATAACTTTTAGATAAGTCCTGATAAACTTCCTCTTCTTTCTTCCTTGTGAATATATGTGAACAAACCGTCATGGCATTAGTGTCTTGCATTATATGCCAAATGTTAGTTCAACTCAATCTCTCTTTTTGGGTCATCAAAGCAAATTTTGTTTGTTGTTGTTTGTTTTGCAGTACATGAGGTTCTTGCATTGAGAGGACCAATCTATCAGAGCATATATCATTTCATAGTTGGAGGTCCAATCGTAGACAAGCGGATAATGGGCCTCCCTGCTTATCCAGGCCCCAGTGTTGATGCCTGATTGCTGGATCACCCTATTTCAGATAAGATTGGCAGGTTCATGAGTCATGATGCAAATAAAATCCATAAAGCTGTGAACATTGCTGACTGCATTTTATCTTGGAGCAATACAGCTTCAGTTCAAGGTGTGCCAATGGATAATTACATAATTAAGTTACAATATGATAAGAAGCTGAAGCTGCAACAACCAACCATGTCTCTCTTCTCTTCAACCACTTGTTCCGTCTTTCCATTGAAGAAGAAGCTAACGCTGCTGATCTGGCTGCAGCGCCGCCTCGAACTCCCAAGATCCCATCGCTGCCTCCCATGTTTCTTCTAGTCTCTCTCTCTCGCAAACTCAATTGATGAACTCGTAAACATACATGCGTCTAGGGTCAAATGGATCTTGAATTGTTGTGATCTGATGCAAACTCAATTGTTGTGAAAATTGCACTGACTGGTCGACCGGTGTTTGATGAAAAGCCAAATCTCTCCGTTGGAGTAGGCGATATCAAAGAGAGTTTTTACTCAGATTTGGTGAAATATTTGATATGGCCTAAGTGGTCAAATTTCTACTGTTGTTTCAATATAATTCTTTTGCCACTCATCATAAAAAATTAAAAATTAAAAAAAAATTAACCGAAAGTGCTCACATATTCCACCCTCAAACTTTCACTAGAATTTTACCACATTGAAATTCAAGTTGTAATCTAATGAATTAATTGTTGCAATTAAAAGACGATGAATCAAAGTAAAATTCTGCTGAAAGTGGGTGAAAAATATAAAGAGAAACTACATAGATGGTAAAGAGTTTGGTGAAATAATTGGGTAATATATGACCGTCCTCTTTGTTCAATTTTTGTTTAAATGATCTCAAAAAAAATTGCTTCCATTGGACAAAAACGGCGCTAGAATCATTTAAGCACAAATTGAATAAATTGGGGACCGAATTTACACATTTTAAATATAGACATTGTATTTAACTCCAGTATTTAAAAGAAAACTTGACATTTGCCTTTTTGTTTTGTTTATTTAGATACTAACCTGCGAAGAAAGTGATATATATTCAAAACAGTACTGCAAATCATGGAAAGAACCAGAGGGCTTGAACATGTTCCATAGTGAATCAAATGGTGACAGAGATCATCCTGCACCATCCTCAACAGCTTTGGATGGCTCCCTATGCTATCACCGCTCAGTTCCAATGCTGAATTGATCAAAACAAGAGCAAAAAGCTGCACATCTTCATCGGCAGTCTGAGCAATCAGTCCCTCAGTCTCCACAACTTCAACAACATTCAGCAAAGAACACAAGAAATGGAAGATGTCAACTGCAGAGCGAATGCCATACCCACAATCTAAGTTGGTGTCTTCTGTGTCTGATTCTGAATTCTCCCAATCTTTTACTTCAATGTCTGGGAGACGAGTGAATATTGTCTGTATCAACTCGTGCATCGCATACCTGTTGCAGATTTAGAACAAAAATAAACTTTGAGTCGTCGTATCAGAAACACTTTCTTTAAGGTAAGAAAATACAACGAAGTCACCAACTGCAGATAACGAGTCTGAAATTTCCTTTATGCTGTGTTTGGTTGGAGGATTTGGAGAGAGATTTAGAAAAGGAAAGGAAAAATGTGTGTGAAACTATGTGAAATTTAGACATATTTTATTCTCATTTCACCTACTTTTTCCATTTTTCTTTTCAAATTCTTCCTCAAATCCCCCAACCAAACACAGCATTAAGGAGTCTGATAAAAATGAGAAACATTGGAAGAAAGTAAGAAATGTGCTTTTGGATCCCAGTTTTTCTGTTCTCTAAGCAATGATGCATTTTGCGCTTAGCCCTTATTTTATTTTTATTGATGTGATGTTGTTGTATTTGTTGTACTTCTGATTTGCATCTATATTACTTTCTTTTTCACTTACACAAAAATAAAAAAATTCTATTATTTCATTTGTTTTCATTTAAATTGTACCTATTCATTTGAATTCTTATTATTTCTTATTTCAGATTATCCAACATTTCTCATTTAATTCAAAAAGAATTTTGTTAACTTGTATGCTAAAGAAAAATAGTGCGACTTTGAGTCACATTAGAAACACTTTTAAGTCTTAGAACAAACACATAAGTGTGCCAAGAATGCCATTATTTAAAACCAGAAATATATGCATCTCCCAAAGCTTTAACTGCCTTTTAAATTTATAACAATCAACCTATCAAATTTGTAGACAGTACCTCACCTTCCACTGCGTTGCAGCAGATCACCCCGGCTAGCTGACTGGCCAGTCATGACCTGAAAGCAAGTATTGACCACCGTACAAACCGCATGATCGGTCAACAAAACTGACGCCCGGTGCTTCATGATAGCAGCCAACACCTGCAGAATCCTCATCATCACCGCATCCTCCGACACCGGCGCTGTCCTCTCCAACCTACACCCCGTTATTGCTGTCACCGCCGCGTTCATTGCGTCCCTCGCCCCGGGCGTCTTCTCGTCAAATATCTCAAGCTTCAAAATCTTCAAAATCGACGACAACGCCACCCCCGTGGCAGCCGCGGGGATGTCATCACTCTGAATAACATCGAGAAATGGTGAGATATACATTTGGGGATCGATAGTTCGCCATTCTTGTTGAGGGTTGAAAATGAGAGCTCTCAGTGATTTTAATGATTGGAGTATTGATGTGTCAGAGTTGTCTTCTTGGGGTGGGAGGAAATGGGAGTTGGGTTCCGGTGCTCGCCGGATCACTGCTAGGACCGCGCCGACCTCGGTGTTTAGCATGCAGGAGAGGCCTAGTTCTTTCCTCTTGAGTTTTGTCATGGTTTTGGTTTTGTTGTTTCCATTGCTTTGACCTTTCACTTCCTCCATTATTGAGGTTTTCAGGTGAAAAAAACTGTTTTCAGGAAGTACAAAAAAAAAAAAAAAAAAACAGTTGGGAATGCACAAAATGTTAGTTGGGGTGGTGGGGTGGCTTTGTTTTGGGGGATGTAATAACCATTTTGGTCATTTGGAAGTGAGGCATAAAATGATTTACAATTAGAATTTTTATACCGAATTTATCACAGAAATGAGGTGGAAATGGAATTTTAGACAAATTCTGATAGGATTTTGGATTTAAAACGAGAGGATCTAAAGTTGTCATAGCATTATAAATATTTTGTACAAATTTTTTTGTTTGTTCAATACTATTCACATAAGGTCAGTAATGAAAGGATGAAAGGGCATTTTTGGAATAAAAAAGTTTTGCTCTTGTTAATCGTGGTAGAGAGACTTGGAAGAGGAGGTGGTGAGGAACACAGCCGAAATATTTGGTAAACAAGTGGCTAATTAATTTAAAAAGTTTGTTTTTTAATGGATTTGTGTACATAATTTTGTATGGTTAGAAATGATTATTTGAAAGTTTCTACCCATTAACATCTCCTGATAGTGTTCTGTTCTGTTACGGACAATGCACTAGAGGGTTGGTAATGGAGTGTACAAAGCTATAGATTCTTTGTGATATGTGATAGAGACGAAATAATAATAATAATAATAATAATAAATAAATTAGAAAAAAGAAATAAGTTATCCTCAATCATGGTTTTAAATTGCGATATGAAGGCCAACACTCCCAATATTGGTATAGATTGCAGCATATTGTAACCAGTACGTATTGAGAATAAAATGTTATTGTCACAAATTTTAAAACAGTTAGATGCTCTATTGTTTTGAGTTTAAATTAAGAACCAATCTAAACAAGTTCAATGTGAAAGATATAATGGTCGTGGATTTAAACCAATATACTAATTTGTAATGGAACTTGGCCAATTTAACAATAATTTTTAATCACAAAGATATATTGATATATAACGATATCAAATCATTAAAAAAATCATTATGTATCAATACAATACTTAACTGCATGTATTTAGATTCATGTTCTCGGCTAGTAATCAAATGAGTTTGGGTAATAGGATTTCAAACACTCGTCTAAAATATATGAATTTCAAAAATTGTTTTAACCAATAAAACATTTATTATATTATGGAAAATGCTCTGGTGTATAATTAGCCTATTTACTTGTGGATTCTTCATTGAAAATGTATATTTGCCTATTCAGACTTGTGGATCTCATTATTTTGAACCAATCACAAATTATATTTTGTTCATAGAATTTGTTTAGTGTTTAAATAAAATAGAACTCTATAAATCTTGACTAAAAATTTAATAAAACCGTGATATTACATGAACATGTCACAAACCAATAATAAAATGAGATAAATGTCCATCTCGGTTCCACTAAGGGTTCATCTTTTAATACCTCGTGAATTAATTTGATTATTTGCATTCAGCTTTTAGTATCTCATGAATTAATTTGATTATTTGTTTAAATGATGTATTCGAGAATTATGAAATGGACACAATATTGATCTACAACACCATCAACATGTCCCTCTCTAATCCAATTAGTAAATTGGAGAGAAACCTTTTCCACAATCAAACTATATATTATTAAATAATGATAGTGACTATTAATAATGAAATAAATCCTTTTTTTTCGCTCTAATAATATGATCCCTTTTGAATCTAATAATATGATCAAATGAAAAAATAAAGGAGGAAAACAATGGCGGACTTAGAGTTTTTGGTTGGCTTTAGCAATTGAAAGTGTTATTGGGCTTCCATAGCTCGCTGAAAAACTGATCTTACTAATCTAAATCATTAAGATTGTAAGCTTATTTGATCTTCTCTATATACATACAAGTACAAACGTGTATATGCATATAATAATAGATTGTGATTGATCAATTTTCTATATGTTTTGTCTAATCGTTGCAAACAATTTGTGATATTTGTGAGAGTGCCGCTGCGATTCTCTTCTACGTTGCTTTTTGTTTGCAACAAGAAGCCTTGTTATATAATCTGTCTATACTATTATTAAAAGTGAACACTTCATTTGGTGTTCATGAATTTCCTTCTCTCCTTTTGCCGAGGGGCCTTCTCTTCTTGTACCAAGTATCAATTTCTCAATCTAAAAGGAAAAAAATCCATGAACTTCCTTCTCTCCTTTTGCGAAGTGGTCTTCTCTTCTTGCATCAAGTGTCAATTTCTCCATTAAAAGGAAAAAAATAAAAAAATTTCCCCACCTAAAAGGGCAAAAAAAAACACACACACACAATTGCATTAAAGTGTCAATTTTTCCATCTAAAAGGAAAAATAAAAATAAAAAAACAATTGCATCAAATGTCAATTTTTCCATCTAAAAGAAAATAAATAAATAAAAAACAATTTTCCCCATCTAAAAAGAGAAAAATAAGAAATAGTAGTTAAAAGAGGGATACAAGACTTAAACCTAAGAACATTCACTTAACTTATTACAAATACTTTCATCACTTAAACAAAATAGAAAATATGTTATCAATTCAAAATTAAAATTTATATTTTAAGCACACAGCTCACACCTCTATTATATGTATATATAAATATGAAAAGATGTCTAGAAATTAGTTTAAGGACTTTATGCAATAAAAAATGTTTAGCTATACTTTTACCATTGTATCATTATAAAACATTGGCGAGGGATCTTTGCCAAATTTATAAAAATTGTTCTAAATTTTATTTCTAAAGCTACCATAACAAACCTTAATACATTTGAATAATTTTAAATAATAAACTTCTTATTTGTTTTGTTCATTCCTAGTTATATCTTTTGTATTTTTATTTTTGTCGTACATTTGTAATTATAAAATTTTAACGAATTATTTTTAATCTCACAATTTAGCTTAACGTGGCTTTAGGTGTCTAGAAGAATAATACAAGTATGATTTTATAAAATTGAGTTGACACAAACAACAATAACTTACATGGTTGGGCAACAAAATTTGTAATTGGTTCATTAGTTCTCCCCAATATCTCAAGATTTAGTCAACCAACCCATTTTCAAAATATTAGGCAAATGCCAGTCTTGAGAGTCTCTTCTCTACTCTTTCCACCTATGTGTAATAGTTTTTTTCTATATTAAAATCAGTTACCAAAAGAATTGACACATCTTCAAAATAAAATGTCCATTTTATTGTTGGAAGTCATGGATAAGATGGTCATGCCCAAACTTTGAATGAGATTTTTGCATATCACACAATCATAATGATTTATACATGAAAAACCTATCTTGATATTTATCAAATATTTTTACAAGTGTTTGAATACAATATCAATCAAATATTGATCAAGATTTGTATCTATTGATCAAGACTCCAACTCATGTGAATTTTAAACATTAGCTCAATTGTGATTAAACCGCAACATATTGGACCAACAAATATTCCTTTTTAAAACCTCACCGTTCAAATTTCATGTTTGTTCTCATTTTCAACATTTTAATCCACTATTCCACTTCAATCCATCAAGGAAAAAAAAAATCAATTTTTATATTACAAGGTAGGGGAATTAATCAATGAACTGGAAAGCTTACCTTTGTGAAGAGTTTCCAAGAATAGATAGATAGAGTGCCACATACTTGTATAACTCAATAACGCTAGGGCACGTTTGATTAGGGGGATTGAAAGTAGAAAATATTTGAGAACCACCGAATTGTTAGTCCAATGTTTGATTATGGAAAAGAAGGATTAGATCTAAATCTCGAGTAAAAATTCAGTACAATGATGATACTACGTCATCATTAACACATAGTGTCACCTAGGAGTGGTTGCGGATCGGATTTGTGTGGTTTGCGGTTCAGTTTTGACCCGCCTGTATCTATGCAGTTTGAGAAAAAGTCAACCCGTATCCACCCGCTGTGCGGTTTGCAGTTTGTGTGAATAGGGTTCGTGGATATGCGGGCAGTTACGAGTGGTTTGCGGTTTGCGGTTTTGACTTTTTTCTTTAAAAATTTATTTTTGAGTTTTTTTTTTTTTGCCATTTTGTAAATATTTATTTTGGGTCATTTTCCCCCAATTTTCTAAAATGCTCCAACATTAATAACTAATGAATTAAAACTTATAAAATTAAAAACACAACAAAATCAATTCCTAACACAAACAAATTATTCAAACTTATAAAATTATAAAATTCCAATTCCATGCATCACAGTTCTGTTCAATGACAGAAGCACAAGTTAGGCTAAGCAGTACTCATAATGCAGATCAAACAAAAAAAAGACCAGGATTGGGATTTCAGGTATGGTTCTCTCAATGATACATTCAAAACGAATGTGAGAGGGTGATTTATGATCAGGAGTTGGACTGAGGTAACGGCCGAGCAGATTGAAAGCCCAACGGTGCATGGGGCCGAGATGATTGACCATCCGCCAAGAAATGGGCTGCCAGAACCTGGGCCGGGCAGAACTTGGGCCAAGTGTGAGCCGCCCCGGCCCAAGAAGGAGCTCGGCTAGATAGCGCTTGGTTGGACCGAGCTGCCTGATCAGGGGATGGCTGAAGCCAGACAAGCTGAGTGACCGGCGCCCGGAAAGGCGTGGTCAACCGAGGAGACTGTTTGACCGGCAGGAAGGCCGACCAAAGGAGGTACCCGGGCTAGGCTCTGCCGGGATGCCGCCTAGCCCGGTCCTCCATGTGTTTATCCGGTTAGGCGCTTGGGTATGAAGCATGGCATGACCGTGGTAGAGCAGCTCGGCTGCCGAGCTCCAGCTGTGAAGTCAGGCAGTTGAGATTAGGTGATGATCGGCAAGGTTTACGCTGACAGATGGGATAGCAGAGCCACGTGTCAGGAGATGACTGGGAGTGGATATGGGGCTCAGAAGGTATATAAGCATGTCTGCGCCCCCCATACACGACACACGAACATCTCTGTAAGGAATTCTTACACTCAAACACTCTCTCCCTTCTCTCTATCCATCATAAGGTGTGTGCTAACTTGATCGTCAGAGGGTTTTTCCGGCCACGTACCGCCGAGTAGCTCACCGTTACTTGCTCGCAGGTGATCGGTCATCGACGGAGCTCGGAAGAAAGGAGTACGGGCTTGCCGAAATATTTGCTCCCCGTACAGAATGAATGGACAATTTTATAGGAGATGCTAAAAATTCCTACAATACAGAAACTCAACCCAAAAATTTTTAGTTATAAATAAATACTAACACATTACATTTTTTAATATTACACAAAATTTACATGATTCATAAAGCTGTTACATCATTCATTGACAAGCCTAAGGCATCATTCTTTTCCAAGAAAACTTTTATATATACTTTCTAAAAAAAAAAACTTATGTATATATATATCCAAGAGAAAAAATGAAAAAAAAAAAAAAAAAAAAAAAAAAAAGAAGAAGAAGAAAGAAAGAAAGAAATACATTGCATCTCTTCATCAATTATGATTCTCAACATTTTTGCTGATTCATGTTTCAGATAAGAGCTTATGAAAATTGTTTCCTAATGAATTAGGGTTTGTTTGTTTGGTCAAAATAAAAATATCTAGGATAGATCCTAGATGAACGGTCCAGGTTTAAAAAAAAATTAAATTAAATTAACTACTCTAAACGCACCTACCCTATAAATTTGCAAAACCGCCCATTCGGGTCGGGTCGGGTTATGCGGGTCGAACAACCCTATGTCCAGTCCCACAAATCAATAATAAAATGAGGTAGGGTGGCCATTGTGTGCCTATCTCAATTCCAAGTCATAAACAAATTACGGTGCAAAAAAGCAAGATGTTTACTCAAAATTGACTGCCTATTTTTTTAAATCATATTTGTCATTTATTTTTTAAGAAAAATGTAATCTAAACATGTGACAATTGATATCTAATTAATTTGATTATTTACCTAAATGATCTATTTTAGAAGTCTAAAAAAAATTAATGATTTTGATCACTGAAATAGACCCAATATTGGTACACAATGCCATCAAGAAGTTCTCTAGTTCTAGTCACAATGATGCCAAGTATTAGTAATTGGAAAATGTTATACGTCTTAAATTTTTTACCAAATGAATTATTAAATGTCTCACATAAGTGTGGGATTCAAAAAATTATGGATCCCACAACCATATAAGACATATTGTCATTCATTTAGTAGAAAATTTGATATCTCTAACATTACCCTCAAAGTATTGTTATTTTAACAGACTCTCAAACCATATAAGACATATCGTCATTCATTTAATAAAAAATTTGATATTTCTAACATTATCCTCAAAGTATTGTTATTTTAACATACTCTCAAGTTTTGGTTAATATCCTTGATGATCAAGTTGCACCGGATTGGGAGGTATCAACGATAATATCATTTATAAAAGCTTGTATTAGGTGTTTTGTTGGTATTTGTGCAACTAAAGCCACTACCCAAGTTGTTATGCCAACCCACAAGTTGGCTAAGTCTGTAAAACTTTAATGATATTAATTTATATTAGTTATCTGTTCTCAAAAAATGATACAAAGTATTTTTTTTTTTTTTTCTTGAATCTCCCTTTTTCACTCTAATAATAAGGTAAAAATATATCGAGGACCAAAAAAAAAAAATGAACCTCCTCCAAAAAAAACTAACTAACAAACTAACATCTTCCAGTATTGGCAAAAACCTAACAAACTAACCTCGCAAAAACATAACAAACTAACATGGTAATCTTGGCAAAAACATTTGTTTAATAGAATTTACTTATTTTTAAAATTTTAAAAATTGCATCTTTTGAGAACAATTTATCAAAAATAGAATTTAATTGTCCCCGTTGAAATTTAGTTAGACCCACTTGTAATCCTGAGATAGAATTTATTGGTAATTTTTCTAATAATAAACTTCTAATTTCTTTCTTTTTAAACTCTTTGTAATTTTATTTTTGTCAGAAATCGGTATTTCATTTTTGGTTTCTCAATTCACAACTCTTTTTTAACTTCTAACATTTTTATTTTTGTTGGAAATCTAAAATGGGTTTGGTTCAAAGTTTCCAACCCACAATTCAAGGCTTTATGGGTTTAGAACAATAGTACAAGTCTAATTTCATAAAATTGAGTTCACACTAATAACAAAAACTGTGCTAGCATCCTTGTAATTGTTTCATTAATTCTCCCCAATATCTCAAGCTTTAATCAACCAAATCATTTTCAAAATATTAAGCAAATGCATAACAATCTTCGCTTCTCAACTCTTTCCACTTATGTGTAATACTTTCTTTTATATTAAAATCAGTTACCAAAAGAATTGGCAATTCTCCAAAGAAAATGTCAATTTTGTAGTTGGAATTTTGTGGTTGGAAGTAATGCATAAGATGCTCATGACCAAACTTTGAATGAGATTCTTGCATATCACATAATCATAATGATTTATGCATGAAAAACCTATCTTGATATATATTACATATTTTTGAGAGTGTTTGAATACAATATAAATCAAATATTGATCAAGACTCAAAACTCACTCGTGTGAATTATAAACATTACCCTCAAGTGTGATCACACAGCAACATATTGGACCAACAAATATTACTTTTAAGAGTAATGGTATGATACCAAATTTTCTACCAAACAAATTACTAAATGTCTCACATAAGTATGGAGTTTGCAATTTTGTGAACTCCATACCCATGTGAGACATTTAGTTATTTATTTGATAAAAAATTTAAAATTTATTTGGTAAAAAATTTAAGACCTATAACATTTTCATACTTTTAAAAGTCCGCCGTTCAAATTTCATGTTTGTTCTCATTTTTCAACGTTTTAATCCACTATTCCACTTTAATCCATCAAGAAGAAAAAAAAGAATTAATTTTTATATTACAAGGTAGGGGAATTAATCAATGAACTGGAAACTTTACCGTTGTGAACCGTTTCCAAAGGTAGATACACATTGCCAAATGCTAATATAATTCAATAATGTTATAACATGTTTGACTATCTCACTACTCTTTAGATTGAAAGTAGAGAGAACATGTGAGACCCACCCAATTATTAGTCCCGTATTTGATTATGAAATAAGCAGAACGAGATTGGAAGTAGGGAAGCCCTTTAAAATGCGAGTTGGAATGGGCGGGTCACCGGCCGTGCCCAACCCTAATATACATTACCACATGCTCCTAACTACACAGAATTCAGCTCCTTTGTTCCGATACACTTTCAACCGTTTGATTGTGTTTCAAAATTCCCGCTAAATCGTGTCATTTAGAGTGTGTTGAGGATTGTGTGGTTGACATCAAGTTCCCACTAAATCATGTCATTTAGGGTGCGTTGAGAATAGTGTGGTTGAGATCGAGTTTCAGCATACCAATTTATAATACAACCAAATTAAACATTTACAAGAGTGAGCAAAATAGTGTAGCCATTGCATTCTCTTCCAACAAGAGAAACAAGCTTTAACCATGTCAAGATTTTGTCATACTGCTCCAAATTTCAACAATCCAGACTATTTGGCTTCGTCCTCTTATTTACCCATTTGATATGAGCTTTTCACCTCATGCCACAAGCAAAACAATGTGTCAAATGCATCATTATCATCAAAATTGCCTTCTTCAGTCTTTGAGATAGCTAAGAGGGTCTTCAACCACTCTTCATGTAGAGTCGAAAACTCAGACCTCCGCTCACTCGACTTGAAACTTTCCCCAATCGATTCTTTCATCACTTGTCCAGCTCTTGATGCAGCTTCAACCACCTGTTTTGGGATCCCGGCCATGAGTGCCACTTGCATTCCATAGCTCTCTGGGCATGCTCCAAAGGTCAGCCGGTACAGGAAAACTAAATCCTCAACTCCTTCAGATGAGTTCTCAGATTTTGACTTGAAAGTGCAGGCCATGTGTTGTAGTATAACATGTGGATGATGAGCAAACTCCTTTGTCAGTGGGTGATAATGTGTCGCAAAGAGTAACCGACAGTTGACCTTCTCAACAAGATGACGAAATACCTGCACAGGTATTCAGGAATGCATATCATACAATGAGAAAATACTCTTTAAAACCAGGACATACATTAAAAAAAATTGAGGATAAACCATAATTCCAGATTGAATGGTTAATTAAACAGATTAATTTATTAGCGAGCTCAAAATTTTTGACCTAGAAGTTCATTCAATCTTTTTATGCAGTCCCATAAAGATGACCATCCTTCTAGAATGATATTTAAGATATAAGACAAGTTTTTGCTAACTAAAATCTAGACATTCGTTCTGTAACATCATAACCTATGAGTTTTACATATAACCCTTGTTCACAAGAGCATATTTCAAGAAGTACAAAATACAAGTTATCTAGCAAGAGGATATTTCAAGGAGTTAAAGCGAGTAAAAAGAGAAAATACTGAAATCTCACAGCATATGCGATAGCATATCCATCAAAGGTGCTTGTTCCTCGACCTAATTCATCAAGAAGAACCAGAGAATCTTGTGTGGCATTTTGAAGAACTGATGCTGTTTCTGTGCACTCAATGAAGAAAGTACCTACAAAAATGGAGGTCAACATTGAATAACATAATCAGAGAAGTCAATTACAAAAGAGGCTGTCTTCGTGTGTATTCCGAGTTTCAACCTGAGTTGCCTACTTTCCAAATCTCAGGAGAAAAACTGGTTAATATCATAAATGGAAGCCTCAATCAACTTTAAATGTTGAATATCTTGGATAATGGGACCATCCAAAGAGAATCAACCAAATGCATTCAAATTGTGGTGTGATAATCAACTTTTTCATGATGTACTTATGTAACATCAGGATCAGCACATTGGGTCTCATATCAATTAACATTTATCAAAAGCTGTACCTTTTGTCAGTCTATAAATTGACAAGCATATTTATAATTCCACTATAACAGCTAATCTGTCTATCACTAACATTTAAATACCCCTCCAGCACCAATACACCACCACTATAACTATCAAAACCGTCCATGAACCTAACATCATCACCATAAAGACTGTTAGTGCCCAGTCAGATCACAACAGTGCAACGACTCTGTTGTCTACCTCTGCCACCAACTCTTCTTCCATAGCCACATTATCAGATGTTTCCCAACATTGCGTGCGTTCCTTTGTTTCTCAGAGTTGAAAGATAGAACATAATACATTCAACAATAAAAATCCAACAATTTATGAGGTCCTCAATAAGCCAATTTTAAACCACAAAAACCGATTTAAACAGTCAAATAAAATCAATGTCAGCTTGCTGAAGAGAACTTACTCTCGCCAGTCATGATTCGGTCAGTGGAACCAAGCCTCGTGAAAATGATATCCGCAAGGGAAAGAACACACATCTCACAAGGCACATAAGAGCCCAGCTGCGAGCCATAGGAAAATTATTCACACAAAGAGGGATGATTAAATATGGGAAAATCTTCACTATCCCAAAACTACTTGAGCCATCATTTATCCACTACACTAAGCTTCCAAATTTAACACAAGAAAACAAACCTGTGCCAGTATAACAGCTAGACATGTAGCACGTAAAAGGGTGGATTTTCCACCCATATTTGGTCCAGTCAATAGTAAAGATCGGGGGTGATGGCCATCTGTATCCTCTCCGAGGTATACATCATTCGGAACGGGTAGTTCGCCATTCTCTCCAAGGGCATAAGGATGCCACAGTCCTTTAATTTTAAGAATTGGTCCTCTGGTTACTTGGCATAAACCAGTGGATTTAGAAAGAGGTAAAATGACAGGTTTCGACATAGCCCCACATGCAGAACTTGCAGTGACTGCAAAAGATCTTAGTACATCAATACAATCTATGGCTTGGCAGACTTGAGCCCATTCAACAACTTTCTCCATAAACAACTCAATCAGAATTGAGAGTATATCAGCATCTGAGTCCATCACATTATGGTCCTGGTACCATGAATTATGTCAATAATGTTCCATATTTACTTAGAAAGACACAGATATCACTCTAAACTAAAAAGAAAATACAACATGGAGTAGCATGTGACTGTGTGGAGATAGAGAGAGAGAGAGAGAGAGATAATACTGAATTACAATTACAACATCACAAACTCTCAAAGAAAGTCAATATTTATGTAAAATCCACTAAGCAGGTAATTTTAGTGTGTTGTACGCAAGTTGGAACTTCATTCATCATGACTAATGTTATACAATTGCATTTCATGGAATGATAACAAGCATGTTTAGTGATAAATGAACTTAAAATATGCAACAGAGGAGCACACAATGTAGAACTTTTTGTTGAATTTGAACTATAAGAGATGCTATATATCATATGTCATCATGAGCCTGGAACAATATGTTTTGGTTCAGTGTGTTTGGTTTGAATTTTTTGGATTAAGTTTTTTGAAAACTCAGTTTTTTGGTTTTCGTATTTTTTTGTTTTTAGTGAATATTTTTAAAAATTTAAACATTTTTTTTACCTTTTTAGATGCACTTAGATGTATCTAAAAAGTAAAAAAATTGTGAAAAAATATTTTAAAATTTTAATAAATACATAAAAATACAAAAAATGTACTGAATTCTCGTATTTTTTTTGTATTTTTGGTATTTAGTGAATTTTTAAAAGGTTTTTTTCACAAATTTTTTACTTTTTAGGTATATTTATGTTAGGCATGTCTAAAAAGTAAAAAAATTGCTTAAAATATTAAAAAAATTCAGTAAAAACAAAAAAATACGGCAAACAAAAATGTAGAATTTTCTGAAAAGTGTTTTTGGAAAATCACAACCAAGCAAGCTTGCTTTTTTCACCACAGATGCAACACCAACATTTTGCCAGCAGAACTTAGTTCAAATAACCTTTTCTTAAACCACAATCGAAACATCAGATTAGATGCTCCTTCTAGCATGCAACATACAATTATATCTTTAAAGTTCACAATTAGCATCAAGAAGCCTTAAAGGGAAAAAAATACATAACTTGCTTCTTCAGTTTCCACAGTTTAATTCACCTTATAGTTCTAAAGAACTGAAAAATGTAGTAAATTAGTTCAACAAGTGTTTATGACTTGGACACACATCTGAACTGATCATAAACATCATGAATCTCAACCAGTCAACCACTATTCAAATGGAACATGACGTAGGCAGAAAAACAGAAATATTAACATACTACTGGATAAGGACAACCAAATTAATACATAAAGATGGATATCTTGCTTTCCTTGCATGATATCTTGCTTACAACATAAACACATTGGATGACACAAAGTGAGATTCTTTCATACATAACTCTGCAGGTGATGTCCACCTTGGAGCCAAATAAATTAGTATATATCTAAAGTGACATTTGCATCATATAGTACTCGAATGCAGAGCACGCTAATAACAGCCAACATCTATTTGACATGCTAGTAGATCAGCCAGCATTCACCATGTAGTCTAGATACTTAAGCAGGAAAGTCTTGGAAGAAATTATGCTTAATAAATGATTAAAAAGCAGACCTGGTAGTTGGGGAAGTCACTTTCTATAGCTGCTTCAAATTGAGCAAGGAATTTATCAATCCCATCATTACCATTTAGCAATGGAAGCTTTAGAACTTTCGATAATGATAAGATCATGTGCCCCTCATTCTGCAAAAGTAACAACAAATCCATTCCAACACGTAGGCCTTTAACAAGAGCCCCAAACTTTTTTACCTGTGCCACAAGCAGACAAATATATACTCTGATCAAACAAAAAGAATTGACACAAAATGATTTTTTTCCTACAAACTAATAAGAGATATATTCTAATCATCTTTGTATACTAGTATGTATAATTTCAAGAAATATTAACGAGTCAACAAAGGCCACGCACAGTTACTAGACCAAACCCAAATAAATGGTTACCACATAACAGACCAGCAGAAGAACACCATTACTATCGTCCCATGTTAGAAGTAGACAAGACTTACTCGCTGCTTCAAAACTTTTCTGCCAATCAAAGGCAGTACAAGTGAAGCAGATGACTGAAAGCTAGCCTTAACCCGTCCAAGCAACCTTTCCAAGTCTGGAAGCTTACGAAGATATTGAGCAATGAGTAACATAAATTCTGAATGTGCCATTAGCTCCTCAACAACATTAAGCCTACAGTTGATTTGCTCTACATCTTTCAGAGGATGACAGATCCAGTTCTTTAAAAGCCGCTTACCAGATGATGTCAAACAGTTATTAAGATAATTGTTAAGTGTACCTGAAACTCGTATAAAAGAAACTTATAAGAGTATAACTAAGAAAACAAAACTATTAACTATCATAATTGAAGGTGAGTTTATGAACACTTACCTAATGGACCACCATCAGCATTATTACCAAAAATCTCAAGATTAACCAGTGTCTGCCCATCCATTCTAAGGCAACCCTTATAGACTTGGTATGGTCGAATATCTCCATTACGCAAAACATCATCTAACTGCCCAAAAGTGAAAAGTGTCAGTCACTGAAAGTACCACATATATTAATACTATCAATCAAAAAATATTCAACAGGAAAAAACTTACCATCAACCTGGATAGATGACTAATAAGTCCACCAAGAGCACATAATCCAAGATCATGGTGCATAACACCATCAAAAGTCTGATCCCATGTATTACTAGACCCTTTGAAGTATCCCTTCAACTGAATTAGATTTCTAACTTCAGAAGCATTCACCAAATTAATGGCTGGCTGTACTGGAGTCAGTTGTGATGCAGTGGATCCTGCAAGATAGACAGAACTTGAGCACCTAGTAATTTGTCTTATAAATTAATGAAGTCCATGTAATACCCTTGGTATTAGTACTCCCATTGCTTGCTAGGGCATGCTATTTTCATCTGTGAGAATTACTATGATGCTGTTGCAAAATGGTGTGGACGGATCTTCCAAACATTCTGAAGTTTCACCAGAATATCTGGGTTGACACGGATCTCCCTCAATTTAGACTGATGTAGACTGACCTCCCTCATTTTAGTCCGATGTGACGAGCATATTATCAGTTATATTATCAGCTAAAACCCACCTCTACCAGCTTATAAGGTCTGGAAAGACTCCAGACAATACCCAGCTATCGAACTCAAATCGAGATCAGCACAACTAGAAGCTAATCACCAAGGAAGAAAATAAAAATAGGGTCATGCTAATGACAGCCCAACAGGCTGTCAATAAAAAGAAAATGCCACAAAAATTAAAATCTCAATACAACTTTTACACATCCCAAACATTTTTACATAATTTTATACACCTTTTGCACATTTCTATAAAAAAAAATTTCACATCTAGCAATGTTATTGACAGCCCAAAGGTATGTGGGTGCACGGACCAATGTAATATGCACGAGCCATGACATCAGCTGCAACTCAGCACTGCCAGCTAGGCACATCAGATAAACAACCCGGCTAGTTTGTATTCATTTAATCACTCCAAGGTACATGAAAACTTTACGGGTCTGTTTGGTTTAGTTTTAGAATAATGATTTGAGTGTGGAGTAGTGTTTTGAGTTTTGAGCTTTAAGTTTTTGAATCAAGATTTGAATAAGAGAAAATTTATTTGGTTATGAGTTCTGAAAATAGTTTTGAGATGATTTGTAATTTTATTTTTATTTTTTTTTTGATTGATTGATTGATGTATAAAATGTGAGAGAATGTGCGAGACGAGAGGAGAGATGAAAGAGAAAATGTGATTAATTGATTGAAATAATAATAATAAAAAGAGAAGAGAGGAGTTTTGAAAGTAATTTTGAGTTGTATTTTAAAAATATATTTGGTTAACCTATTACATTCAAATCATGATTTAAAAACAGAGTTAACTTTTGAAAAGTAAACCAAACACTACTTGAAGTTGTCAAGATTCGATTCTATCAATTTTCTATGTCAATCAATTTCCATATGACAGTTCAGCAATCCATGCAGATTAAAGAATAAGAAAGAAAATTTTCAGAAATATGCTAATTAAAAATGTTAATCTAAATCTGATACTCACCTGTTAATGTGTACTTTTTGAGTGCTTTTTGAGCTTCTCTGGACAGCCCTGAAACATATCGTATATTAACTAGCAGACTTTAGACAAAAGTTCTGGCTAAAATTTTTAAATCCATTTATTCAAAAATCAAGCACAAAAATGTTAAAGTTTACCGTGACTTTCATATATAACTTCCTTAGGCGACACCTAGTATCAAAACCAATGACAAGATAACAGTAAATTGACCATATTCAAGAATTGCACATATATAGAATTATTCAAGCAGAAAAAATGTAATCAAAGAGCATACTTGCATCAACAATGCCCCCAATGCTGCACAGGAAGTGTCATCGCTAATAGAACCAACCCAAAATTTTAAAGCAGCACAGTCAACAAAAGCAAAGCCATATGTAGTTGAACCACTGCCTAGTTCACAGTTACCCTAGACACAAAGGTCAAATTCATCAATACAACAAAACATATCAATAAAACTTAAGCCCAAAAACAGTCATGATATATATCAAAAAGAGATGACACTTTTGCATGTCAAATACACATGATAATTTTTTTTTTTTTTTTGATCAACAACAGACTTTATGGATAAATCAAAACAAAAGGAAAATGAGAATACAAAGAGCAAAACCCTAACAAGATTACCTCAAGAAAAAGCCTACATATCACACACCGCCAACCAATCTCTAACCAACAAAAAAAAGTGAAAACCCCTTAAATAGAGAATTCCCCGAAGCCCAAAAGGAAGTTAAGTGACAAACTTTATCCCACAACACATTATTAATAGCAGTCAAAAATATTATTATATTCGTCAAATGGAAGGATTGGAGAAAGTTTATAAAGTACATAGTCAACATGAACATTAGACACAGACAATATAAAAAATAAAAAATAAAACAATGTCCAAATAGTACACATTAATGTGTGTTTGGTAGGGAAAAGATTGGGTATACAACCAACCTTTGGCACAGTGCACAAAGTGATTACCTCAAGACTTGACCCCATAACCTCAAGGTTATTAGGCCAAGATTTTACTATTGAACCAATGATCACCCCTACACAAACAATATATTAAAAAAAAAATTAACATTATGAGTTCTTGATTCTCTGTCGTAGCCACAATAATATGATATAATTTCACAGCATTCTAGTTGTCTTGAAGCTCCTGCCTGATGTAATTATGTATTGTTTAGTTGGATTGCCGAAAAGCTTAGGTGCCCTATGTTTACAAGTATCTAGCAATCATATCATGCCATTTTCAGGTTGATATAGACAAGCAGCAGGAAGCTTTAGAAGGGCCTTCCAGTTCAATTACTAGTGGTTAAACAATGCAATGACCTCACACCACAATCTTCAGACTTTGACCGCAGTAGATGGTAATTGTGATTCTGGTTTTGTAGAAGTATCACCTATTCATAAAAATGTGAATACAGTTCCAGTGACATGTACAGCAAATTTATTTTCATCAAAGCTAGGAAGCTTAAGGAAGCATGACACAAAATAATAGTGTAAATGGTTTTTACAGGATCAATTCAGTTTGTAGCTAATGAAAATTTAGCTTTTGTAGGGAGTTAAAAAGGTTATGAAGAAGCAGCAAAATCCCCATGCCATTGAATAAAGGAAAAACAGCCAACGTATGAAGCAAATATTGATGGATTGTGTAATTGGGGTTAAAAAACCTAAAAAGCAAAAAAAACAAAAAACAAAAAAAAATAATAATTAAACCAAAGATTGATGAAAACATGGGATAGAACAAGAAAACAGAAAAAAGAAAAATAACATAAACAGAAGCAAACAATAAATTCAAAGTCAACCACACAACAAAAACATTAACATCCAATGGTTAATCATCCAAGAACTATCAGACCTCTTTTATAGCGAGAAGATGAACAGAATCAGGCCCAATGTTATCATCAATTAAGGTTGATGGTGTGAATACGTGAACTAATTTTCTTTGGATCACCTGAAACCCAAAATTTCAAATCATATAGCTCAGTTCATTATTAACATAATCTCAAACCTGCAATTAGAGACAAATTGGAACCACAAAATCAATGAAACACTAGTTGTATAATCTGAGAACAAGACTTGAGAAGTAATTGACCCAAAATATAAGTAGTGACGAAGGATGACAGTATAAGTGGAACAAGCACCAGTTGTAAACTTCAGAACTATACACTAAAGAAGGAACTAAACTACATTCAGGAGGCTCTAAGCCCGTGAACTAAGTTCATTGAACATAAGCCTCATCACAGTTACTCCGAAAACAATGTTTAGAGAAGTTGGTGGATAAAAGGATCATTTGAGCATAAGAAAGCATTTGAGGTCATGGAGAGAAAATAAGAAAGAAAAAATAGAAAAAGAAAGAAGCAAAATGTTGTTCATAAATGCCTGGTCAGGGGTGCTACCACCCAGAACAAGAAGTTCCACAGAATCATTGTTCTTCTATTTGTTGCCTTAGAATAACTTTATAGACAGAGTGAATAAGACAAAGCCTATTGTACACCCTACTCAGGCTCAAAATCACCTTGAAAAAATGCTAAAAGAAGGAAGTCCATTGCCATTTTTCTAACAACTTTTTAGAAATTAATAGTTGGGCTATTGAAACTCAACTTTCAACTTAGGTGGTGTTTGGCAAGTTGGGTTGGGGCTAAAATAGCCACAAAAAACAAAACAGGCTATTTTAGCCACAACAAACAAAACATCACATCCAACCCATAATCATTATACTCTTCTCTCACAAAAAAAGTCAAAAAAACCAAAAAGCCAAAAAGCCCTTCCCAAACCAAGCTTTTTAGCCCAGGCTAAAATAGCCAAAAAAGTCAAAAAGCCAAAAAGCCAACCCACTTCCCAAACGGAGGCTTACTGTACTATCTATTAGAGTACATGTAAATCTAGAAAAGGAGTTTAGGATGCTAAACTGCAGTTGCTTAAAGGACTACCAAAGAAAAAGGTACAGAATTTTGCCTTTTCAGCATAAGAAGAAATTCATGAACACAATTAGATTTCCCAACTCAAAAAGAAGAAAGAGACACAAGCTTAAACGGCAATTTATACCTAGATCCTCGGCCATTTCCTTGTTACCATATACTTCCATGCCAATAACTTCTCTCAGATTTCATTTTCACAGATTTCAAAATATATGCTACGGCTTCTGAAAGAATAAAAATCTAATGAATGAAGAGGATTAGAGTCATTGGTCAAAATCAAACTATCATCGAAAGATTCCCCTAAGGGCTAAGAGACAGTAAGCATCAGATAGAAGCATATATGCCTCTCTCATACCCTACTCGAAAAAGAAAAACCGTAAACATGAATGCAAGAAAGTTTGAAGCTCTTTTCCCTCTCTATTTTTGCTTCCTAAATGGCTACAGATGAGCCTTGGTAAACATTCGCAGGAAAGTGGAAACTGCCCATGGATGATGGCTTTAAAATGCAGGTTGGATTTATATTTTTTAGGTGAAAAGGAATACAACCTTTGTTGAACTTTGTATAAATGGCGCAGGGTCTGGCTATGGCCTGGGAGATGGAGATTTCTTGCATGATGGTAGAAACCAATATACAAGCCTTAAGTTCTCTTATAAATAATACAGACAGGCTCCGACTCCCAAGCCACAGGAAACCTCATAGAAGATTGAGGGATTATCCTGACCAACCTTCGTGATGGAATATGCAATGAACTAATTCTAGGTAAATGCTCCTCCAATTACTTGCCTAACAAAGGATACATCTTTACCTCATTGGAGTAACTATGGATGAAAGGAATTGAAATTGTCACACATCGCACTAAAAACAATAAATTAGTCAGTATTTAGAAAACTTAGCAAACTTACAGATGCAGCACCTCTGGCTCTTGCTTGTTCAGACGTTTCCAACTGCTCCATTCGGCCAACTTTGTACCTTCAGAAAGAAAATTTACAACTAGTAAGAGAATGGCAATACCTGGAAACTTTAAGTCCAAACAGGATTAACTAGTACTTGAGTGGGCTGAACCTTTCCATATTGACAGCCATGCACTGTCTTGGGCCAACATTCAACAACAAAGGTGCAAGGCATATAACTTAAATTACATTTTCACAAACTCCTTTTGCTTTAGAGGGTATTTGCAAACTATTTATATAGAAGATCTATAGTCCTTAGATACATTCAGAAACCATCTAATCTGGATATTAAGCCAGAATATATATATATATATATATTTGGATATTATTTTCTCACCCACGAGCAATCAACTTCTGAACAGCCTCATCAATCCCACTCTCAGAGATGCCAACCTAACCAAAGGAACATGTCAATGATAGAAATTATTTTAAAATGAACAAAGTACAAATACCTCATGTATGGGCTAAACAAAATGGAGAATAAAAACACAGTGCCATAGAAGAAACTACCTGTCGACATTTTCCCACACCACTCATTGTAATTTTCCAATCAAGCTCCTTATGGCCAATTTCAGCATCTAGTTCATAGAGCTCATAGAATTTTCCCTTCATAAAATCCGTAGTTGTAGTGTTAGACAAATTTGATTTCAGCACAAATAAATTACGGTAAGAAAAAATTTTGACCATTCTAAATGTAACAGATCTTTCTAAAGAAACTTCATTTTTATATAAAAACAGAAGAGAAAAAATTCCCCAAAGGAAACCAAAAAAAAATTCAAAGGAAGAGTAGAATGGTGATCTTATGGGTCTCCAAATAAACAAAGATGCTGTTTTTGGACAAAATACAAGTTCCTTGCTATTCAACGTATGTGTCTTTTTTGTTCAATAAAAAAACCACTCCTTGTAAAACTACATTTAACTTGCCATGATCATATAAACCAACATAATTTGACTTTATCCAGCCACATACAGATGCATCATATGGATAACAAATATCTAGGTTTGGTTTGTTTTTCAGAAAAAAAAATTTGGGAAAAATTCTCTACAAATAAATTTTCAAGAGTAATCAAACCAAATAAATTTTTCCAAAAAAATCTCAAAATTTTGCTTGGTTACCTACTTTTCAAAATCACTCTCTCTTATACACATCAAATCAAAAACTTTTTTTAAAACTCTCTCCCCAAAATAATTTTCCAAAACCATTTCTGAAAAAAGGCAAACCAAACAAGTTTTCGTACTTTTTATCTCAAAAACTACTCTACAAATACAAACCAAACACACCCATGATTTCCTAAACATAAATGACCAGATGAAAAATGATACAGCAGCTTCATAACTGACCACTTTGAAGAAAATCATTACGTCCATATACTGAGACTTAACATTCCAATACTGCTTTTGAGATGCCGACATTTTTTTCAAAGCATCGGGAGGTATATAGAGTGTCCTCTTGTCATATAGAGTGTCACCGGGCCTTCTTCCATTAGCATCCCTGATCCGAGATGGATCAAGCCATTCAAACTTACTAGTTGTTTCAGACAGCTGTGCAAGATTTCTATTTCCGGCCTCTGAATCTTTTTTAATTCGTTTGCTCGAATCCAGCAAGGAGCAATCACTTCTATCCTTAAAGTTGCAACTGTCCTCTTGAATTCGCTTCAAACGCGGAACAAGAGGCCGCATACCTGGTGTTTCTGGCCCAAGAATATCATCATCATCATCTTCTATAACCAATGGACACCCATTATCCCCTCGACGATCTGTTCCATTAGAATTGTGTATATTTCCCTTCCCAACATGTTCAGAAGGAGCAACTTCACAAAGCAATGCTTCCAAGTTACTTGATTTACTAGTAATTGGGCAAACATTGATGGAACCACCATTCACTTGGTTCCTGCAAATACACACAAGAACGTTATAAGAATATGAGTATGCTAAGGTAATAGCACAAAAAAACCGTTAAGACCAACAAATAGTAAAACAACTGAAGTCAAGTGTTTAGGCTTGCATTTAGCTTGATATAAAAGTTGTGGCTTCATATTTTGCAAAATTAATGTAGAGTAAGTTGAAGGACATAGAGCATATAGACACCCAGGTTATATGCCAAACAAATCAAATGACATAACAACCACATAAGAATTTGTGATTAACGCAACTGAATATAAGCATACAAACATGCCTTAAAATTAAGGTTGCGTTTGTATTTAGGGTTTTGACATTCATCATTCAAGGGAAATAGTTTGAATTTAGATTTGAGATTAAATTATATAACTTTATCATGATGGATGCATGTGGAATTCTCCTTCCAACTACTAAGGTCCTATCCTACCAAAATACATATCTTCTATCTCTAGTTATCTTCTTCTATAGTTGTGTTATCCACCTATGATAACTAACTCTCTAATATTTCTACAAATTTAAACTCAAATCCTTGATTTGAAATTCACATACATCCATCAGATCCAACTCTAAAAATATTAAAATAAAATCTAACAAACATTAATATCATTCATTTGCACAAGAGGAATTTCAGAAAATCATATTGTTGAAAATGCAATATTTTTAGTTTAGTTTAGTTTATTACCATGACAGAGTTATTATGCATTGCAATAATGATTGATTAACCACTCAGTGATTCTGAAGCCCTAATGCTTAAGCAGAGACTGATAAATACCCTAGAAATTCAAAAGACGCATCACAGGACTTTTCCTTATCATCGACCCTCACGAACTTGTGCTTAATGCTGGAGAACAGAGAAGGCCTCTCGCTGTTTTCATTTGCCGCGAAGCTCGTCCGGAAAATCTGACGTGGCACCTTCTCCGGCGGAGTGTCAGTTCCTCGGATTTCAACAGAGGAGTCCAATGTTGACGAAACGGTAGCTTGATTGGCTACTACGGTGTTTTTGTTGTGTTGCTTCGCCGGAAAATGAGGGACTCGCCGGCCTTCGAGTGCGTCTCCGCCGTTTTTCTGGTTTTCCGGCGAAGGTCTCTGAAGGAAGGACAGTATAGACTTCTGGCGCTGCATTCTCAGAGAGAGAGAGAGAGAGAGAAGGATCAAGTGAGGATGAGAGAGAAGTGTTGGAGAGAAGAAGATTAGGAGTTTGGCGCCATTTTGGGGGGGGACTTTGGAAGGGCTCTCGAAGACGAAACTGTACGGACCGATTTGATTTTGGAGGACTCGAGAGAGACAGTGCTATTGTTGTCAACCGTTGATGGCTTTGGACTAGAATGCAGCGAAGACAGTCAACCCAATGGAAGGTGATTAAACCGTCCAACAACGCATCAATAAAGTCCCTCGAGAGTCGAGATACACTACGGACTGTTTTGATAATATGATTAAAAGTTGTTTTTTTTTGTTTTTTTTGGGTAAGAGAGAGGGAGGGGACATGTTAAAAGTTGAGAAGTAATTTTTAATCTCCTTTTCAAAACATCTCCACTTATATTTTGAAAATTTTATTATCAAAAAAAACAAAAAAAACTCAAATATTTGAATCTCATTGATAAAGTAATATTATATAGAGTTGGTTTGAGTAGCGGATTGGGTTTTTAATTTTTGGCTATTTATTTTATGATTAAAAAATTTTGTTTAGGAATGATTTTTTATGAGAGAAAAAAATAATGATTATAAATTTAATGTGATATTTTATCTTATTAAACTAAAAAATTTATTTTATCTTTTTGTAATTAAAATAACCTCAAATCCAACTCAATCCATCTTCCTAAAAGAAGCCATGCCTAAACTAAAGTGTTGTTTAACATCCCTATATTAGTATACTAGCGGCAACCCATGCTAATGCACGGGAATGTATAATTTAAATAATTTTTTATACTTATTTTTGTATTATAAAATAAAAAATTCTTATAAATTTAAAATATAATAGGGAGTTATAACTGACAAATATTTTGAATATGATAACTATCTAATACCTAAGTTCATACATTCATTTTTTCTATAAATTTGTTATTTGAAACATTGATTGTAAAATTATCTTAGTCCAAGTAGGTCATTTAACAACATGAACTATGGCCAAGTTTGGCTAACCTAAAAAAGTGCACTTATTTCATCTTTTTATCTTTTTTGGGTCACATCAATTAACGTCTCCTCTCTACTTTTTCTATACATAATATAAAAAAAATCAAAAAATGCATTTATTTAGTCTTCCCAAACTTGATCTATCAGACATTATTCTAGCTTTAAAAATGAATAATGTAAAAATGGGTACTATTACAAATAATATAAAAATGTAAAAATGAATATTACCACAAATAATGTGAAAATGTTCAAAGGCCCCTTTAAAGAAAACAACAACAAAAAAAATGCTCCCACTACATATACATATAGGTATACAAAGAGAATAAAATTCATCAAAATCCTAAAATCCTACAACTACCTAACCAATTGTAACGTTGTTGATGGTTGAATGTAACTCGAATCTTAAACACAGAGTTTGAACAAAACTTTATACCCAATATGCAAACACTAACAAACTCGATGGTATGTTAAAATATATAGCTGAAGTGTGAAGCATTTGAAAAATAAGATAGAAATGAATTTGAAGATAATTATTAGATTAGAGATTAAAATAATTTTTTTTTAAAAAAAGGGATCATACAAAAAAATATAATAAAAATAAAGTTGGAGATAATGATAGGATTGGGCATAAAAAAAAATTAAACAGGAAGAAATAAGAAATAAAGAAAAATGAAAATACTGGAGAAGATTAAGCAAAATAAAAAATCAATAAAAAGAGATAAGGAGTCTTAGATAATAAAAATATTTTAAAAGTTAAAAATTTAAAATAAAAACAATAGTAAGAGAAAAAAAAATTTATTGGAGAAAAATAAGGATAACAAATTAAAAACATAACTTTGAGAGAGTAACATGTAAGAAATAGAATCTTAACTCTGCTTAAGAATTGAGTATTGAGATTTTGAAAATTTTAAAGAACACACTATATTTGCTTATATATATAGTATAGATATATACATAGGTAAAAGGATATATATCAAATCTAATTTGAAAAGTAAAAATAAAAGTAAAATAAACATCCGACAAAAAAAGAAGAGAGATATGTGGGAATTCAGTTGTTGATAATCAAAATTTTAAAAAGATAAAATATTTATGAGAGATTACGTATGAGTAAAAGATAATTTAATTTTGTTTGTTATATCAAAATAAAGGCATGTATATTTTCTTGAATAGCAGCAAAATAAATTTACTTTTTTAATAAAGTTGCAATAGAATAAAATATATTTAATTTTTAAATTGCATGCTTGACGATGATTTTTTCAAAAAAAATAAAAATAAAATAAAAAATAAAAATAAAAAATAAAAAATAAAAAGCATTGATAGAAAATTTTAAAATTGATGGCAGTCAATTGTTATCATTATAGCCATAAAAAATAATTTTGGATAAAATCATGGATAGGCAATAAAAAATCAACACTTAGCATTAAATTTTGAAAAAATTAAAAAAAAATGGAAAATTTAGAATATAGTATTGGAATTCCTCGAATCATATAATTAGACATTTTAGTTAATTTTAAAATTTAAATGTTAAATTCAGTAAGATTATGTCATGTGTGTTAATTCAAAATTTAGATAATACAATAATAGATTTGAACCATTTTTTTTTTAATATTGTAAAAAAAAATTCAAAATTTTAAATTAGATATGTTTAGTTAGAATTTAAAGATTCTAAAATTTTAAAATTAAATATTGTTAGATGTACCTATCACTTTAAGCCAAATATATTTTTTAATTTTAAAAATTTTAAAATTGAGAAATTGTGCTTAAGGTTTTGAAGCTGTCTTGTGTGTGTGTATTTAATTGGGTGTATATTGGTTGCAGATGATTTGAAGAACTCTCATTTGAGAGAGCTTGGAGGAGAAAATGTGAGATTAACTCTATGCATAGTTGATCTTATTGATTTCGAGAGTTTACTCGAAACTATTAATGGGTGTGATGGTGTGATAGATATGAGATAAAATAAAATTTAATATTTGATGAGTTTCAAATCTAATTAAATTGAAGAACAAACACAAATCACAAATTATAAAAAAAAAAAGAGCAAGCCCAAATCATGCATAATGTAATAATGAAGAAGATGAAAAGATATGTAAATGAATTGAAAAATATTAGAAAAAAATATACCCACACAAAAGTAATAGACATTAGAAAAATACATATAAAGTAGGAAATAATATTAGGAGCATAAAAATAGAGAAAATGAAAAGATGTGTAGATTAATTGAAAAATATTAGAAAAAAATATATGCACACAAAGTAACAAACACCCAATAATATTGCACTGACCTTGTAATGATTTTCACATATCATCAAAATATAACAATCGAGAAGATGAGTTATTTTAAGAAAAGATAAGTAGATGAGAGAATGATTGAATGTAATAATGGATAAGATAAAAAGATGTGTAGATAAACTGAAAAATATTGGCAATATACATACATACAAAAGTAATAAACACTGAAAAAATAAATATAAAGTAAGAAATAATATTAGGAGCATAAAAATGGAGAAGATGAAAAGATGTGTAGACAAATTGAAAAATATTGAGAAAAAGAAATATATACACACAAAATAACAAACACTAAAAAAATACATATAAAATAAGAAATAATATTACACTGACCTTAAAATGTAACAATGGAGAAGATGAGTTATTTTGAGAAATAAAATATGGGTAGATGAGAGAATGATTGAATTTTATTGGAATAAACTGAATAGAGAAACGTGTATGTGTAAGTTGTAGGAGTCGTGGGGTGTTTTTTTTTCAATTGAGATTGGGAATGAGATAGATATTATTGTGGGTGATGATAATGGATGAATATTTTATTATTTTGGGATAAATATTATTGTTAGTGATGGATATGTTGGAAATGGTAGAAAAATTCTGGGTAAAACCAAAATTTTTTCTCAAGTTTGGTCTATTTTTTAGGTGGGCCCCGTGTATTGATTTACACGGGTCAAAGTGGTAACGCGTTCTATGCCGCGTTGTGATTCACGTGGTATATTTGGTTGCTCAAAACCATTACCGAGTGAATGGGAAATTGAAGCCAAAGTGTGCTCCATGGAAATAGAGTTTTGGTGGAAATTCCTTAAGGTTGTAAATTGGCTTGTCCCACATTGATTTGGTGGGAAGTTTTGAAAGGGTTTATAAGGCTTAGGGTGAGATACTTGGGGTGTGCCCCAAGGGGTACCCAAGTGTTTTAGAGGGAGAGGTTATGGGCAAAATGGGCTAGACCCATTGGACCCAAAAAAACACCACACGCGCGCCGCCGCCGCCGGTCGGGCGGGCTGGGCTGGGCTTGTGCGTGGTTGGGTTGGGCCAAAAACATTTGAATTTAATTTTATTTTTTATTAAAATAAAATCCATAATTCAAATTAAATTGGTTTGGATTATTTGTTCATCCAAACAGGGCCCTTCCCGGTTTCAAACAGAAATAAACTGTTTTGGAATTAATGCACACCCAAACAGGGCCCTTCCCGTAATTGCTATCTGTTTGAATTGTTGAATCTGTTTGAATTCAAATCCAAACAGGTATGATACCTTTTCAATTCAAAACCAAGAGCCACATACCTGTTCAATTCAAAACCAAGAGCCACAAGGTTCCTTGAATGCAAGTCTAGAGGTTCAATTTAGCAATCTACACTTCAATTACCAAGCAATTCTTCAAGTTTCCAAGCGATTCAAGGTGAAAAACCAATTTCTCTCCCTCTCTACTCTCTAGGTCGGCAAGGCTCAAGAAAAGGGTTGAGGGAATTATGTTATGATCAAGTGTAAGGCTCAATGTGTGAGATAGTGGCCCACTTAGTGGCAAGTTTGGTAAATAAGTCAAAGTTTGCAATTGATCAATGTTTAATCTAATTTAATCATACCTAATCAGTTTTCAGATAATTACACCATAAAATCACACAAATTATGATGATCATAAAACTTCAATCAATTCCGGATTCGGCTGCCGATAAGGCCTTCAATTAGCAGTTTAAACATAAAACACAAACAGAGCAAATAATCAATCAAACAGATATAATACAATTTAATATACACACTCAGTCAATTCAGTTCCAGTTTTCAGTCAGTCAGTTCAGTACTTTAACCGGTCCAATTATCAGTCATAATCAGTTCAGTTTAACGGTAATCAATGTTTATCGGTAGTC